CCTTCGTCGGATGCAAGGCTCCACTTGGGGACTCAATCCGAAAATTCTGAAAATTTTCTACCAGACCCTTGTTGAGAAAATTGTAACTTACGCATCAGCGGTCTGGGCAGAACCTATGCAGGGACGGAAGGTGCGTTTTCTCCTAAGTCTTCAGCGGACGTTTGTATTGGCAATGACCAAGTACTGTACTACTTCATCTGCTGCATAATGTGTCCTAGCAGGAATCTTTCCTTTACATCTTAAAGTCCTTCAGGAGTCTGTCCTCACTAGAGTCAAGCAGTTACACCAGCCTACTCAATTTGACGACACACTATACTCTCATACGGATTATGAAGCATCAATAAACTCATTAGCCACTCATCCCTCCACTTATGGACAAGGTCTCTCTGTATTTTTAAAGGGTGAACATTTACCTCCTTCTACTACTGTACAAATTTACTCTGATGGCTTTAAAATGGATGATGCCACTGGCTGTGCTTTCATTGTGTTTTTAAACGATCTACCCATCTATCATTGGAAAGGCTTTTTACACGCAAACAATAGCGTATTTCAGTCTGAATGTTTAGCTCTGTTGAAGGCCATATCTTATGTGAATACTTCAGCAATTTCCACTGCAACTATTTTCACTGATAGCCTGTCAACTCTTTATGCGCTATTAAACCTGAAGCCAACATCCCCTATCATACAGGATATCCAACAGTGTCTAAAGCACAGTGATCACCATTGCATTCATCTAGTCTGGACAAAAGGACATTCTGGGACTGCTGGTAATGAATTTGCGGATACGTAAGCCAAAGAGGCTGCTGCCAATCTCCAAGCTGAAACTGTACAGCTTAAGTGGCCATATTCTGCTTTGAAACGTGCCATTTATCTTCAAACTGTATCCCAATGGCAAACAGAATGGGATAATGGTATCACCGGCAGGAGAACTCATTATCATCTATCCTATGTCGATCCTGCTCTGCAAATAACAAATCCGTGCGTTTTATCTCGGGTCACGGACCATTTCCCGTCTATTTCCACAGACATCGTACATCTTCAACGGACCTATGCGTCTGTGGAGGGACGGGTACTCCAGAACAAACTACATGTGAACTCACAAGGGCTTTTCATGTGAAACTTCCATCAACCAATATCCAGGCTTTTGCCGAATACATGATTAAACAGAGACATTTGGTCCAAAAAATCACATCCCTTACGACTCTACTTTTTGATCATGACATAGACTTATGTCAAGTCACATAATACTGTATACAAGGGTAGTGCAATCTTCATTATAATTAATTTAAGCTATCCTATGTATTGTATCAAATGTAATAGAGAATTTTATTTTCTTCATTGTGTATGCATTGTATTATATAGAATTTTATTAGGAACTGATATCGCATAGTTCAGATTTGTCTTATGTATGATTCCAATTACTGTTTAGCTCTATTTTAAATTCTCTATATGGTGTCGTATATGCTTATATACATGGTATGGTTAAACTTGTTTTGATTGATTATATCGTATGATATGATGTATACTTATATGGTAAAATTATATTGCACATCGTATTAAAAACTTGTATTATGTATCATATTTTGTGCTGAATGATAATCTTATAGTTCTCAACTGTATTCAATAATCGTATTGTATGGTATATGCTTATATTGTATGCTATTATATCTTGTTTATTAGTAACGATTTGTATTAAGCATGGTATTATGTACTGTATGACTATATTATAGGTATTGTGTATTGAATTATAACCTGTTTTATAGTTCCGTGTGGTATTAAATCAGTGTACTGCATTGTATGATATATACTTATATCTACTTATATGTATAGCATTATCTCATGAATTTTCGTTATGACTCGTATTATGTATGTTATTATGTATTGTACGATATTATTATAGGTATTGCGTATGGAATTCTAATTTGTTTTCCTTTTTTATATTGTACTGCCAGGTATAGGATTGTTTGGTATATTCCTCATTCATACTTATATGGTATGAATTTATATTGCAAATCGTTTAAACATTTTATATCATGTATGATATTTGTACATACTTTGGTATTGTTTTCAATAATTGTATTATATGGCATATGCTTATATGGTATAATATATCGTTAATGACTTGTATTGAGTATGTATTATGTACCGCATGGCTATATTGTAGGTATTGTGTATTGTATTATAACCTGTTTTATGGTTCTGTATAATATTAAATCACTGTATTGCATTGTATGATATCTACTTATATGGTATAGCCCTGTATCGTAAATTTTAGTAAAGACTTGTATTATGTATGTTATTCTGTATTGTACGGTATTTTATAGGTATTGTATATGGACTTATAATTTGTTTTCTCTCTTATCTTGTATTGAAAGGTACAGGAATCTTTGACATAAATTTCTTCCTGTGCGTTTATACTGTTTTGATTGATTGTACCGTCAGATATGATACATAAATATATGGTATGTTATTATATTGCGAAATGTCGTGGTGCTTTGTATTACGTATACTATTATGTATTGAATAGTAAATTTATAGTTTAGAATTGTAATCAATCATCGTATTGCATTGTATGTATATACTTATTTCGTATGATATTTTATGGTCATTTTTGGTAACGCTTTGTATCACTTCTAGTATTTTGTACTGTATGGCTATATTGTAGGTTTTGTGTATAGTATTTTAACTAGTTTTAAAGTTTCGAATTCCATTGCATCATTATATTATATTGTATGGTATATACTTCTATGATCTTGCATTATAACGTGAATTTTAGTAAAGATCTGCATTATGTATGTTTTTATGTACAGTACGAATGATTTGCATCAATTATCGAATTATGTACTAAATAGCTATATTGACAGTACTGGGTATAGTTTTATAACTAGTTTTATTATTTCGTATTGTATTACATTAATGTATTGTATTGTATGGTATATACTTCTATGATGTAGCATTATATCGTGAATTTTTGTAAGAATTCGTATTATATCTGTTATTATATATAGCACAGTAATATTTAGGCATTGTGCACGGACTTACAAATTGTTTTATATATTATTGTATAGAAGAGTATCTGATTCTTTGGTACAAATTTATTTCAGTGAATTTATATTATCTCAGTCTTATCTTTGAGCCCTACTTTTATGCAGTTATCTCACTGGCCACCCTTTTCTTATATTCTTATATTCTGTGCAACGTTAACTTTGTGGTCTATATCTTTTAATTATGTATCTAGGAATATTATTTATGTATACCCTATGCCTATTAACTATGTACATTTTCTTTCTTATCTGCGTGTGTATCTATTCATTATTTTATCTATGTCATTTACTCACTGCGTTGAGTATTCTCCCTTGTTTGGACATGTACATATTTTTAAATTTTTGAATAAATTCCAGGTGGCCCTTGGAGTAATGGACGGAGCGTGGGCTTGGATTAGGAGTTGGGTCTCGGTGTTGGGTGTGGGAGGCCCATGTGTGGTTGCTCTTTCACTGGTGTTGACTCTAGACAGGGGTGGACGCGGTGCAATACCGATTAACCTCATGGCAAAGGGACAGTGCCCGCGTCCTCCGTTACTTGTCACTTGACATTATTAAGAGACAGTATAAAGAGATATGCATTTTTTAATTTCTGCCACAGAATGGCAGTCTCATCCTTTTGGAAATTTTAATTGGCTGAAAGTATTGTCTTGGTAGAACCTGGTTAATAAGATAGAACAACAGGGTAGGATGACACGAGATTTAAAAAAAAACTTAATTTTTCTTGTTTAAACGCCTTTGATCAAAATCTGACATGGTGCCAAATCTCGAAAAACACTTTGTCTCCATTTGTCATGAAATACAAACATGCGGCATGAATTTCGAGATCTCCTTTGATCTAGCTTCAAAAATTACTTCTGAATAGAATATGTTTATGCCATCGACCATTCAATAATAAATATTTCAAATGTCGTGTGATTGACTACTACTGACACATGACTTTGACAAGTGACATTACAGTTACAAGTAACACATAACATGACGTGACATGACTATTAAAAATGGCCCATAACTGTCCCAAATGACATGACTATTACTTGAACAGTGTTACTTTAATTTTTTCCTCTTCTTATTTTGGACTTTAGTGCGTCACTCGTTATGTTCTCGGCATGGATCTACCTCTTAGTGCAAAATTTACTGCTTATATATTCTGGTAAATGTCTTTCATTTAACATATGCCAATTACATCAACAACAATCGAATCGAAAATTAGCGCACGTCGGTTTTTATATCTTTATACTATATGTTTCCACTGGTCTTAGCTCCTTTGTTAATTCATTTTGCACCAAGCAAGTAACTGATGCTCATTCTTTAGACTTATTAACAGTATACATCTTACAGCTCAGTGGTCTCACAAGATATGTCTTTGTGTACATAATCACCTTTCTAGAATCCTGAAATAATTTAGAGATGAATTTGGCTGAAGGATAACGGTTCAAAGACGACATGCTTTAACATTCTTATTTTTTACAATTAATTTATTCATTTTTATAAATTCTTCTTCACAGCTATAAGTCGTTATTTTTGACATACGCTAATAAAATCAAGAAAAATATTAACTAAAACTATTAAAGCAAATATATTAAAGCAACAAGAATGTGTGATTCGTACAAATTTACAGAACTGGTTTTGAACGTTAAATAGAACCTTCTTCAGTTACAGGCATCAAAATGACGAAACAAAAGCATGTGCTTACGCGATAACAATAGACCCAAAATTCGAGAAAATTCCATCTAAAAGGAACAAAGATATTGGCGCAATATAATGACAAATTATACATTTTTTCATAGTAGTTTTCATTTTTATGACAAATAAAATTTAGAATACTCTGTAGATGTTGGTAAGTTAACGCATTCGGTTATAACTCAGGAGATTTGACAGGGGAGGAGAAACGGGGTCCGGAGTCATTTTATTCACATAACGTATCACTAATATATATTAATTCAATTGTTTTCATACCTGAATTCAACGAAACCATCCTTTAAACTAAGAGAAATGAAGTCTCCTGATTTAGTAGAAGTTTGGCCATTGTATAAGAGTATTCCATCATTGGCAAAACTCTTAAACTCTATTTCCAGGGATAATCGAGTATATGCTTCTAGTTTGTATAACTCCATAAACGTTCTTCCAGAAAAAGATGGCACTTCTATTTGTATTTCAGGATCTAGAACAAAAGGTAATAATAAATAATCAAACATGCTCTTGGATTAAAGTAGAAATAAAAAAGTAGAAAGAAATTGCCAATTTACTGACATTTAGAGATTCAATTTAAATAAATTCTAACTACGTTATATTCTGAAATCTCTTCCTAGCCCCACTAAACACTATTAACAAAATTCAATATTTACCTGTTCGTACTGAGGCAATGACTATATAAACGGAAAACATTGTTCCGTAGATCAGCAAATATTTGAATACTACGGCACAGCTGAGTTTATACCGAAATCTAATAAAGTTTGTCATGAATAAAAAGAGAAAATATTTTCCAGGAATAGATTCACTGCCTATTCTTTACCATAACAATGCATTTCGTTCGAAAATATATGTATGATTACAATTTTTCCTAAGCTATAATTCCCAGAATGCTTCATTCCAACAGGATATTTCGATATAGTTTTACTAGGAGAATCTATAAAAGCTGCTTAATATTAAAATAAATTTAAATAAAATCGTTTTTATGAAACGGAAGTGAAAAATTGCTCAGATTCATTGATATGAAAAATTTATTATTTAGTATCTTCAAAAGACCTGTATTCTTCTAGAAACATTTCTTAGAACATTTTAAGCTCTTTTTTTTTTCAAAATTTCAAGAGTAATTTATTAAAGCTTCATACATAACATTATACATGCGAGATATAATTCTAAACATGAAACCACGTATCTACATATAAAGAGTAATTATTATTCGTCTCCTCTTCAGTTCCCTCAGTTAACGACAAAATGTTTCTTTCCTTAAGACTCTATGTTTTAAAGAAGTACAGTTCCAAAAAAAGTCAAATCCGAATTTAACGGATCATTCGAGCGATTGATAAATTCGTTAAATTCGTGACATTAAAACAGAAATGTAAAATATATTAAATTAATTCACTCCAAACGAAACACAGGATTTATGTACTCTGTTCTTTAGGAGATCGCAAAAAAATTATGAAATGGAATATATTTCATATTAGAAGGGCAACAGTAAAATTTTCATTTTTCCCTCAATATATTATGAATTAGAAAGACGATATTAAATTATTCACTTAAAAAAATTTTTATCCTCAAAATACTTTTATCAGTTTTTAGAAATAATTAAATGTATCATCTTCTACTAATTGACATATCATTCGTAATTTTTGGCGATCTCTAATCAGAACAAGCATCTGAGAATGCAATTTCTTGTTTCCTTCAAATTGTCAGCAACAGACTCACTAATTGCTGTGTTCTCATCACATAACATCTCGAGGGTGGATAAATCAAGTCAACTGATATAACCTAAATTTGATATATTTGCTAGATTTTATTGCATTCTACAACAGTGTCCTCTTCATAGCTTATTGTGACAGCGGAGAAGGCATTTTATTTTCTTTTTTCGGGGGGGAGGGGGACAGGTGTTACACCTTATGGTAAAATTTTACTTCTTTGATATAAATACTGATAATGTTTGAGACTAGTGCATATATGGAAATTCGAGAATCCCAGAATACTGCCTAGTCACATGTCCGCTTACATCAAAGTACCGTGTACTTCCCAATACAAATTAACAAGGGTATTGTAGATACACATGGAAAGGAAAAGGCTCCCATAGCTATAATAATCAAGATCATGAGTAATCTTCTTCAGTATAGTCAAGATCTCTTTGCATCTAAGCTAGTGCACTTTTTCACCGCAATTTAAAGAACAACATACACTGCAAAAAAATGGGGGGCAGTTCTATATCTCCCGTTCTACTGGGCCGATTGACGAAATTCAAATTGCGTTTTTCATGTCTCGAAAGCGGACTTAGAATTTGCATTAGATTTATATATAGCATTGTTCTAACATAGGTATTTTGACACAAAATCGGATTTTTTCTGAAATACATACCAATGTTTTTTCATATTTCGATTCTACGACTCAAATTGTGCCTAAATATTAAAACTTGTAAAATTTGATGCGAAATTTACGGAGAAATTCAAAACTTTTTCTTAGCGTATTTTTTCAGCTTGCGCCAAGAATAATTCACTTGGCGACCTTCTTAATATGTGGCAACCTATTTTTCTCTCCCTTGCATTGTGCAGGAGCGGGAAAAAAGTCACATCATTTCTATCTTTTTACATTGCGCATAAGTGGAAAAAGTCACAGCCTTCCTACTTTTAAATAAATTTTAACAAAGTGCCTAAACCGCATTTGATGTTATTATCGCTTTCAACAAACATGCCAAATTTAAAAAGGCGCCAATACATAAATTCACAAATATCTTCGGAAATTTTGAATAAAAAATTGTAATATTTTGCAGGTATGCTTAGAAATAGTACATCTACTTTAAGATGATGGTAAAAATTTTATAGATTATAATATAAAATGTTTTTTCAAAAAGTTAATAAAAATTATTTAAGAATACAAATTTTAAAAATAAATCATAAAAAAATAGGCGAATGTTATTTGGAATGAACTTAAATTTCGAAATGTGAAAGGAAGAATCAAGTAAGTTTAATAAGAAAACATATATTAATAAATATACCAAATTCAATTAGCATTGATGAGTTAAATTTTAAAAACCGCTCGTGCGCTTTTACAAAACTTGGCAGTTTGGCGTAATTTGAGTCGTAGTATGGACATATGGAAAGAAATCGGCATATCATTTCAGAAAAAGTCCAATTTTGTGTCAAAATATCTGTATTAGAACAATGTTATATATAAATCTAATACGTATCCTAAGTCGCGCTTTGTTGACATGAAAAGCGCAATCTATGTTTGCCGTTTTCCCATTTTTGGGGGGCAGTGTGCATAACATTAATAATGATGTCATAACTATAAGTTTAACAATAATGTCAAACTATTCATGCAGGTAGAGAAATTCACATACTGGCGGGCATGTCACCATACTTGTCTAGTCATTACAGCAAAATTATGTCTACTTAGATTAAACTGATCCTCTGCGATACTTTTGCGCGAAAAAAATTCCATCCAACTGCAAAAACGGTTAAAAAGTCAATTTTTCAGAAATGAGTTGATATATTTCATGTTTCAGCAACATCTTGCTGCAACATCACATGGCATATAAGCAACCGAAAAAACGAAAAACGAAAAAAAAAAAAAAAAAAAAAAAAAAGAGAGAGAGAGAGATCGAAATGCTTCCGATAAATAATAAAGAAGGAATGTTAATATTTGCATACCAGTACTGAAGAAAAGTATAACAGTCCTTTCTCTCTTAAACTGGAAACTGAACTTTCCTGGCACGCTTCCAAAAAGAGCTCCATCATCGAGGGTTTGACTGTACTGGGTTCTGGTGTTATTTGACCACTCTTTTAGTGCCAGCTTACTTACGCGTCATTTATATCACCTGTGTCGCTGGTGGGCCGACACAGGTGATATAAATGATAAAGTAAAGCTCTACGTTTTTGAACAGGTTCATGACCTGGGATCGAATCCCGATAAAATGCTGGTTACATGGGTGGTCTTAGTGGTTTTCCCCATGTGGTACGCGGATGCAACTCAGTTTCCCTTAAAAAGTCCTCCACGAAGGCACCCCTTCCTATAGACAGATATTTATCGAGTTGCTTTGCCTTAATCAGTTAACCTAACCTGATCTAACTATATAGTGTGTTCGTATTCTGTAACTTTTATGTGTTTCCGCTTATTAAATTTTCTTTTGCTTGTGTAACAGCCCAGCGATTGCCATGAAAGGAATGATGTTCCAGAAACGGTAAGAGATTCTTTCAGCGATTTGATGCTTTATTTTATATGTGCTTCTTAGCGAGTTGTTTAGTCTGTGCTGTAAGATAAAACAAATATATATGCTTTTGGCATCATTAGGACTGAGACAGAAGCATAAACTTTGTTGTGTAAACCTGCTCTGTTGTGAGAACCTGATAAAATATCTGGTCTATAAAATATTTATATTATAGACATATTATTGTACCGTATTACATATATTATTATTATATTGCAGACATATTATTGTTTATATTACAGACATATTTTTATTTATATTATAGACATATTGTTATTATCAATATTTATATTATTATTAAAATTATTATTATTATTTATATTTTATAGACATTATTTATTATACAAGTTAACTAACCAGAAAGAACCTGGTTTTTGGTTTCTGCTAATTAGAGAGCATAATTCATCAGTCTTACCTGGAGGGAAAGCTAGAATTGGTAAAGCAGTAGTTGTGACATTCATGGCGGGTATACGAGTAGTCATGTATAAATTCTGCGGCAACATTTGCGTCACTTCTCGAGTAGATTTGCTGTCTGGTCTTTTCACGTAACTACGTCTTTTTGGAAGCCGGACAGATGCTAAAGTTGTGGCAGGCTCTCGTTCAGCTGAAATGGAGAAAACATGCAGTCACTGAATTAGGAAAACAATCTTGCACATCCAAGGGCATTAGTTATTAACAAACAGTAAAAACACGTTTCACTTTTAAAATTACTCAAAATTCAATAGTTTATTCATGTTATTTTTATAGAAAGCTCTGTACATTTTAAGAGTATTTTTTTAAATATATGAAGCGGGTATTATGTAAGATATCCACCGCCCTTTTCTAACGTAAGAACTTCTCCGAGTAAAAGCGGAACTTTTTGATATGATACAATCAAGCTAATATGTATTCTTTAAAATGTCATGTCCTCTTCAGTGATACTTCGAGATTTAGTGTATATAGTGATCCTCGATAAGTATTCATCTAGGAGAAACCTGGGTTCACTGCCATCCCTCCAACATAAGAACAATAGGTAACTTTGGTGGCCGTTGAAACCTTGCCTGAAGAAGGATTTTATTGAATGGTCGCACGCAACTTTATGTCCTTGATGCAGTGACATTTTTTGCCCTTACGGTAAGGCTTTTGCAAGGAACTGATGGCTGACAAGTTATATTATGTACGACAACGCGAGCCGGCATGGAAATCAATTCATCAATGATTTTCCGTTGGTAAAGGGTGTTTGTCATAAGGTGTGGCTAGCAAAATCTGCGAACTTAATCATATGGAACGCGTCTAAGTTGCTCAAGGAAATGCCAATATGAAATTTGAACATATTTTCAGAATCTTCTTAGCGCTGAAATGAGATTAAATGTATGATCAACAACTTCATTTGCAGTATATGTGCCCATGTTAGACCTGTAAAGCTTCGAAATTTGGAAACATAAAATTTGATATTTTTTACTATTTTTGGTTTATTCATATAATGCAAAACATTTATCTCTGGCTTATTTTATTACGTTAGTTTCGCTGTTACATAGCACTGGACATTAAGTGTAGAAAATTTTATTACAAAAAGACAATTATTTTCAATTATTTTTATTTTTTTAATTATTTTTAACAATTATCACATGATTTGCATTTGTAATCTGAATTGTAAGCGTCAGTGTATATTTAGACATTTAATGGAAATAGAGTCGGTGATTTAACTGAATGGTAAACATGTATTTAGATTTTGCAAAAAGAACTTTGTTAAAATTGAATTATTCAGAGTATGGCAAAGCACACTAAGAGTATATGTCTTCGTGAAGATTTTCTACAGGATATAGGCTTGTATTCACATTACACCATAAAAAGAAGCTTTTGAGAGAACTAAGAAGTGCTGCATTTGGTCTTCAACAAGATTTCCACATTCAACATCCATCACAAATAAATCCAAAATACATAGCATTTCTTATGAAGTGAAAGAACGCCGAAGAAACATCATCAAAATAATGATATCAAACATAAGCTTATATTTATCTCATTCCTGACGAAAAACTTTTCTATCTGAAGGAAAGCTCCCATTACACCAACAGACTCCCCCCCTCACTTCCAGGTCTCTTGCATGCGTAAAATTCACGTTAATTCATTAGTTTCCTGTTACACGGCCTTTTTTAAGGTACATTCCATGTAAGAACTTATTATAGCAAGTATTACATAGTCATATGAACAAGAGCCTCACATATACTATGAATTCGTTCTCACAGATCTGTAGAAGTACTGAACTTTTTTGCTCTAATTTTCAGAATATCGCAGTCGAAGAGAGGCACCTGTTGACTGCAGGTAAAGCACTAATACAGCTGTGATAATTGATAGCTCTTGCCTGCTATCAATTATCAGTTTAACAATTAATCATACCAGCAGTCGAGCGGTAAATCGCTGATCTATGATAGTTTGATCACGGTTCACATCTTGACAAAAGAGTTGACAGTATGGGAGATTTCGTAGTTTTCACAAGTCTAAATTGAATATGAAACAGTTTTCCTTAAAAAAAATTCCCCACGAAGACACTCCTCCCTTTAAAAAAATCTATCTCATATCCTTTGCCATAATCAAATAATCTGATTAAATCTTGTCTTTTGTTTTTGTTAATAAACTAATTTAATAAATTAATTTTTGTTAATAAACTAATGGACTGTCAGGCAATAACCTGGCGATTCTTCCCAGTTAAAATGCTATCTTGTGAAGAATGGTTTACAGTCTCGGGAGAAAAATCAAAATTTCTCTGTGTTTTAAATATTATACAGCATGATATTATCATAGAGCATGCATGACTTCGTGCCTTCTCGAACGTAAACTGCGACTATTTGACTTACTTTGGTATCCTTTTCTACAAATACCGTAGTATCGGATGTTTATAGGTCGTTGGTATCTGCAGCTGAAGAGCCTCATTTGGCATTCCGATCCATAAGTGTTTCCATCATATCCACACACTGGGTCTCTGCTATCCTCCGGAGAGCATTTGAAATCACAACTGCACTGTGGTATGAAATCTTTCTCTACACAGCGAGCCCCATGAAAACATTCCATTTCATTACAGGAGCTTGCAGTGATATTCACTTGTGATTCTAGGGGAAAATATCCACAGTAAATACTTGTGCGCAGAAATCATCATGAAGTACATTTATTGAAGTGCAAATTTATTGTTATGATAAATAAAATCTGCAACTCGTATAAAGCAAGGCAACATAAAAATACAACCGTTTTATCTGAAATGTCAAAATTAAGTATTAAAGATTTATACATGCATAATAATTATATGTATTTTATCTTGTAAAATATAAATTCAGTAATTTGAATTATGTTTAATTATTATTATTTAATTAAATAAATTAAGGATAAAGGATTTTCATGTAAAAAAACTGAATATTTTAAGTAAAACTTTTATCCTGACAAATAAAATTATTTATTTCATTACAAACTGTTCATGTGGTTAGGTACAAAGTTCATATATAAGGCATTTTCTCCCTCCGTACAACATGCCTTCGTGGTAGCACCATCGGCGAGTCGCGTATTGAGAGGTACAGATTCGAGACCCGGCGAGGGCATTGCACATTTTTAACATCTCCAATTTAAAAATAACTAATGACTCTACACATAAATGTGGTTCATCTATAAGCACAAAATATTTTACTTTGGTATTAAATTGTATTTTTCAGTAAAAAAAAAAAAAAGTTTAAAAATGTGGTACTTCTAATTGCTGATTTTCAAACATCAAAAATCGGTTGCTTTGCAGTTCAACCGATTTTAAGACAATTGATTATCAGTTAAAAACAGGATGATAACTGGCAACAAAAACTCATGTCAAGTGTGTAAATTTTCAGAATGCCTTTCAAGGTTAAGACTTTTCCTTCTTGTTCAGCTGCTAGAAAGAAACACATTTACTTCCTTTACGCAAATTCTTGTGACTAATTTTCCATGTGCTTTCAGTTAACTTCACTTGGCTCGTCATTTTTCAGGAACTGATAATTGTCGACTGGCTTTTATTTTATGCAAAAATTCTCATGCCCTAATTAGCCACTTTCAGAAAGTACGCCCTGAATCCTAAAAATTTTGGAGAACTAAATACTCTGGAATAAGGATAGCTGACGGAAGTTAAGGTCCAAGAGCAAGTGATTATAACACATCATAGCAACAAAAAAGTTAAATTATCGAATACCAAACTAATGAACGATCGAAATATTTGATAAACTTTCTCTCACTAACACAAGTATTTTATTGAAAATCTTGGCTGGCATTTACTCGCGATAATTTTAGTGGGCTTGAATAAGGGATCAACCTCCGGAATGAAAGTTTTTAAGCTTAATAACAGATTGTTTTATTTACTGTATATTAAGCTTCAATAAAAAGATAAAAAATTAAAGATAAAATAAATATAAAAATGATATAAATAAAGGTAAATTTTTTAATGAAATGAAGATAAAAAAGATATAAATAAAAGTAAAAATTTAACTAAAATATACTTACCATCTACACAACCATCTGGTGCAAGGATAGTTCCAAGTGGGCATATGTCACACTTCATACCTTGTATACCATGTTTACAAACACATCTGCCTGTTGTTTGCTCACAGTCGTCTCGAATAGATCCATATGGATTGCAATTACAGTCTGAAGGATATCAAAATTAAATTCGAAATTTATTTTTAAAGTAAGATTCTTTTTGACATCGTTTATGATGCATATGAAATAGTTATGACACAATATTGATTTTTTAATAAGTACAAAAACAATGAATGCATAAGCCATCTGAAAACATTACTGCTTATTTACATTGTTTGTTTCTTAAATAACAATCCGAGAGAGTTTTGCACAGAAACAAAGTTCCAATCTGTGAATAAATTTGACCTTTTCTATAAAGATTCCATAGAGCGAAAAGTTGAATTAATAAAATATCCATTGTACTTTGATAAATTAAACGTATTAAAATACTACATCCGTTGATTTGTAAATTTTCGGACATATTATGAAACACATTTTTTAGCTTAGATCATTATATTATTATTAAGCAATTTTGAACAGAATTTGATCAGATTTAAGATCGAATCACAAATGAAAATTAATGGCTTCCCCACACCAGTAGCTTTACAACTGGCCCCCATGGAATTAACAGTCAGCAAGCTCATCGAAATTTGAGAGAAGAATTATGTGTTAGCCGGATAGTGGTAGCCCTGTCGAAGTGCAAGTGACAGCATGACTAGCTAGCAGTGGAAAATCCGTACTTTGAATCCCGACAAGGACACAGTTGATTTTTCATACTCCTTGCTTCGCAAAATAGTCTCTAGAAGGTTGCAGAGACATTTTTAGTTTTTAGTTATTTGTTTATTTATTCTAGCCACAAGTGGTTGTGCATTTTCAGCGATTCGAACCGCGAATTCCTTCACAAGCTAGCTAGACGTGCTACCCATTTAAAATTTTTCCTAATTGGTAAAGTCCAACAAAGGATAAACATGAGTAAAATATTGTATTAGAACCACTAGTCTTCTTCTTGCTAACTAGATATGCATCTCTAAAGCATCCACAAAAGAATGTGATAATTTCTAACAAGATTAAGGTTAACGTTTAGCATTTAGTTTGCTGAAGTATAATGAAAATTTAACTAGTTTTTCCTTTTGCTCTATAAGTATCATAAAAAACTTAAATTTTTATATTTATAAAACCTTCAGACCAACATTACTGAAATTGTTTCATAAAATTATCTTCTTTATTTTTAGAAACTAAATTAACTGAAAATACCTGTATAGGAAAAAAGTTAAAGATTATACGACTTGTTTTAGCAACACTGTCTGAGTTAATTTTACAATTCAGAGCTTTTATAAAATTCGTTTAAGAATTTAATAATTATATCTACCTGACAAATATTATTTATATTTTCATATATACGTAAATCATATAAATAGGAAAGACTAATGTAGGCGATTACACTTATAATCCCTTTTTCTCACGATGTGAATCGAAACAGCTTTCAAAAATGTCCTTTACTAAATGATCAAAATGGTAATCAATGCAAAACTTCCTATTACTCGATAATGTTTTATAACTGTTTCAATCTGTCTAAACGAAAGAGTGACCTAATGAATATAGCCTGAATCCGATCATTCCCTTCCTTCTAAATAATTTTGGACGGAGTTCTCTGAATTATATATAATATAATTTATCAAATAAATAAATAATGGGCTGTAACTTACGCGCACATCCACTGTTGCCACTGGATATTTTATGAAGACCCCAGTAACCTGGTTCACAGCGATCACAACGCAATCCTCCGACACCCGGCTTACAAAGACATTGCTTCGAGACTGGATCACAAGTCAGACTGTAAGATCCTAATTTGTTACAGTTACATACGCCTGTTGGGAAATAAATATTCATTTTATCATCAGATCCATTTAACCATAAAACCATCACTAAATTAGAAAAAGTTTTATGGCACATTAATCGGGAGAAAAGTCAGATTTTTATATCTCTACTATCCAAATTAGTAGCTGCAAAGAACACTGAAAACTTATTTATGCAATTTGTTGTGCTGACGCTAGGTTATTATATGAAATAAACGTTGACAGCAAGATTGTGATGTTATCGGGGACAGAAATTACATATGCCTAAATTCTAAAGTATTTATAGTCGGTCGTTTTTTAATATGTTGTGCTAGTGTTTATGTGGAGCTACTAAATTAAACTCAGTGGCGACACAGCCCTAGTGGGCTGCGGCCTACAGTGCCCCGAAATCTGCTTTCTTGACATTGGGCCCCGGATTTTACAACATGTGCCATGGATAAGTGTTCAGCTTGTCGCAGCACCCCCGGGGTTTAGTCCCACAAGCGAACTTAATACTCATTTTATCGACCCACTCAAGCGATGAAAGGCTGAGTCAACCTTGCCCAGCCCGGGGATCTGTGGCTGTGGCGCAGCTGCGTGACGCGCTAACTACTTCGCCACCGGGCGTTTATGTGGAGCTGAAATGCAATATGATTTATCAAAGAAACTCTTTGAAATGTGCATCGATTCTAAAAATATATCTGTCAGAAAATCAGAAATTAAAATATCTTTTTATTTTTTATCCTAAGAAGCTTAGACAATTCAAATCTTAAGTAATAAATATTTGTTTTTAAAAAAATAACATCTTTACTAAGCTGGTCTAGAAAGTAAGAACCGCTTGCGCATATCTCCCGCGCACGAAGGTTGCGCATGCGTAGTTACATAGTTCGACCCAAGAGTGGATTAGCCTAGCCCATTTTTTTTATTATTTTATTTATTTTATTTATTTATTTATTTATTTTACGTTAACGTTTGAAGTCATTATTTTTTCGGAAATGATGTTTGAAACAATCGATCAAACCGCCAGCTGAGAAATAAGAGCTTTTTCAAGTTTTTGAATGCGTGAAATGTTCGACTTTGTGAAATTTTATCATCAAATAAGTTAAACTTGCGGAAAGAACGCAATGAGTGAAGGTATGGTTGAAAAACAGGATGTTTAACGCAAGGAAGGGAAAATGTCCATGACGAGGAGCGTAAAGAACGCTGTCGTTGATGGCTGAAGGACTGGAGGACGGAATTGACGAAAACGTTCCAATAGGCAATTCCCGATATATGATTTGTCAATGAATTTTCAAAACATTTCATGATATTTATTACACAAAACTGTGACTAAACATTTACACTACAAAAAACTGTGTTCACGGTGGGTACTGAAAACACTGATTAACATTCAGAAACGCAAATGGAACAATCCTCCATTTTTGCAGCGTTATGCGGAGTTATAGATTAGAGGGATATGATTTTTCTAAAAGGATTGTCACAAGCGCTGAAGCATGGATTGGTTACGAGACGCCTGAAATGAAATACGATAGTCAGTGAAATGCAGGCACTGGTTCCTCGGAACCTAGGAAAGCAAAGCCACCACTTCTTCAAGAAAAATTATGTACCCGGTGTTTTGGGACTGTCGAAGAATTTTGTTAGTGGACTGGATAGAACAAGGCACAACAATCGAAACTAAAGCTTACTGGGAGGCACCGAAGAAGTTACAACGCGCGATACAGCATCAAAGGCGGGAACTATTGACTTTTAGTACAGTATTCGTTCTCGACAACGCGCGACCGCTTTCCGGACGCGTAACGACGACGCTACTGGTTTCATTTGGCTGGGAACAGTTCTGTCGCCTTCCTTATGGTCCGGAAATAGCTCCATTCGACTTTCATTTGTTTTCTCATCTTAAGAAATCTCTTGCAGGCCAACACTTTTCAAGTGATAATAAGATAAAGGTAAACTACCAGAATTGGTTCAGGTTACAAGAGGCCGAATTCTAAGAAGCCAGTATGCTGTAGTTAGTTAGTTGCAGTTATGTACAAGATATGCTTTAATTTGCATGGTGAATATACCAAAAAGTAGGTGCGTAGATTTTTCTGTAATGAAATATAAGCGAAAACAAATTGCTAATGTTTTTCAGTACCCAAACTGCAATTACATTTTGGATGAGCTTTCTTTTAATTATGCAGTGTGTCAGGACTTTTCTCTTGATTTGCTTTGGAAGCATGGAATGCTCTTAATAAGAACAGGGAGCTTACTCAAGCTATGTTCAAGATTTGTGTATAACAGACGACACAAGAAGGAAGGGTATGTGAAACCCTTTATTTTCAATACTTGACAGGCACTTCCGAACTTCGGAATACAGAGACCAACCGCTTGTGGTCTGAACGTAAGAATATAAAACTACTAACTAAAACTCTAACTAAAAGCTAACTTTGAATTAGTATACAAATGCCTAGCACTAAGACTGACCATTATTTTAAAAAAAAGGGGTACGTATGTAGTAAGCCGAGCTGCTGAAACTACAATACGCTTGCAAATATCAAGAGGGCTAAACCTCTGGCCTTAAAGGCAACCAGCAACCGAATGAAAACTCGTAAAACTGCAGTGGCAAGCGGTTTGCTTCCTAAATCTCCTTCTCTCTCTCTCTTGGCAAAAAGCCACAACTTAAGTACTTGGGCGTTAGCAAGACAATTTACATAAACAAGTTAAAGCATTTAATTGTGGCCGGAAGTAGAAAATAAGAAGTGATAGTACAGTTTTAAAATAAAATAAACGTTAGTAAAACTTAGGATCCTTACAAGTGTTCGTTGTACTTTCAAATTTTGGAGACATAAAAGATAATGTTAATAAAATTTGAATCATAATAATGTTTCTAAAATCTGAAACTTATCCTTCTTTTGGAAAGGTTCTTACTAAGTTATCTATTTTTTTACCAGGAATAACAGAGAATTTCCGTATTAAAATCGAGCAGAACTGTGAACAACTATGAATTACGTTATAACAAGACTATGTACGACCGGAATTCAGATGAGAATTTATAAATTAACATGCAAATGTTTTTTTTTTGTCCGCAACATAATTTGCAACTCGAAGGAGGCGAGGTATATCGTAAGAGGGAAATTTCAAAGTTTTAAGGAAGATTTGTTCGATTTAAGAACGGTAGATTCAAAATTTAACATAAGGCTTACTCAAAGACTGGCCACGGTTAGGCTGTGATTTAAAATCTGAGAAACAAACTGTGACATTGGTTTCATGTAAACGTACTTGATCTAATATAAACGTTTTTATTTATACTTACTAATTATAAAAATATACATTGATTAAAATATAAATTATATGAATTTAGTGAAGATACCAAACGTTATACGCTCTTTTAATGTTGTGGCGAAATGTGGTTTCCTTGTAGCATAAAATAAAAATAAAACTGCTTCTCGTAACTCAAGCCCACAAACACAATAAAAGAAGCCTCTAGAGCAGGGGTTCTCAATCGGTGGTACGCAAGAGAAAAATAGGTGGTACGCAAAGAAGCAAAGTATTTAACTATTAAATTCAAAAATGAAAACCCCAACATCCTGATTGAGTTTTTACTCGAACACTCATAAATTTATGTGATCATAAAAAACCAAAGACATTGAAGTGCCATAGAGTCGATAAAAAAATCACTCTGCCTATGACGGTTTCAACTTAAAAACATAAAGCTTGACATGGTCTTCAACTTAGTGGCAAATAGGAAATGTAACATTTGGCATCCGCGGCAAATAGGAAATTTCTAATAAATGTATAAGAAAACGAAGTATTACGAATTTTACACCTTACTTAAAAATAGTACTTACAATTGTTTAACTTCTAATTAAAAATTAAATTGACGAATTACTTTTATTTATACTTCGGCTTTAAAAACATAACAGCAGCTAACAAAACTCGGAGCAGTAATTGGTACCGATTTTCTTTAAAAAAAAATGAACTCAAAAATCTTACATGCAATCTTAATATTATTGAGTTTAGCTTCTGTGTACTATATTACTGCTCGTTACAAAATGACTTGGGATGAGAAAAATACTTCAAACTGTTTACATCTAAATGTTTCTAATTTTACTTATTTACGACATGCTGAACGGATATGAGCCATATAACATAAATGCCTAAGTATCCTTATTGCATATTATTATACAGCGTGCAGAATTGAAGGAAATGATGAGGCATACTTGGGCATCCTCCATTATTTGGACCAAGCACGTGACTCCTTCCATCGGGACAACATCCGAATGGCGTGTCTTCGCAGCTCTTGATCAGAAGGGCTAAATATTGAGAAAGAAAATTATTTTATTAAAAAACGAACAATTCCGTAAAAAACTTGTCATAGAAATAAGTTTTTAATCATATGTATGTAATAAATAATTCTCTTCTGCTAATTTTAATAATTATAATTATTTGTTTTCTCTCTATAAATGTGATTCACAATAAAATAAAAATGAGGAGATGAGTAATACAGGCTATGAAATGATAGATGAATGATACAATTGAATTTGATGATTTTATTTGTTACACAATAACTGCTACATAAGAATTACTACTTGACCGACTGATTCATCTTTTTTAATATTTGCAATTTATTAACTATTTCAAATGTCATTTATTTGCGGTATAATTTAAATATTCAGAGTTTAAATAAAAAAATTTGGAAAATTATTTTTATAAATTCTTATTATTATAAACTAGCAGCTACGCGCTATCTGGTCAGCCTTTATCTGGCTTTCGAATGCACCGGAAAAATGCCTGAAGGGAACACCAAACGTTAAATTTAAAAACTGAGCAGAATTTTACTCTGCAAAGATCATAAATAATAATAATAATAGTAGTAATAATAATAATAAATCAAAAAATGTATTATATATAACCAAAATTACAATGAAATAAGCAATACCCCTTAATACAAATATTAATTATCTTAATAAATAAATTTACCAACTTCCCGTTGCCTTCTTTTAACAAACGTTCAGTATCCAAAAGAAACATTAAATTTTAAAACCGCACAGAATTATCGCCCTCATTTTTCCAAGTGGCAATAGTGCTGATTTTCAATAGTCAGCAGCAGTCCAGTACACAATTGAATTAAAAGCTGTTGCCAAAACTACATTTCTAAAAGAATGAAGATATTCAAAATGATGCGATAAAATCGAAAAGATAAAATTTAAAAAAATCTGATTCGAATTTTGAAAAAAATCGCTTCGAGGTGTACTGGCTCTTGTCTAGATACACCTATATACCAAATTTCGTAGCCCTGGGTCTATTAGCCTAAGCGCAGCACGAATGAAAGACACACAGAAAACTGAGCAGACTCTTTCTATTACTACATGTAGAGATAACAACTGTTTAAGCAATGAACTGGATTGAATTGTACAATCTGGATTACAGCAAAGCACGTTGAAAATATCTACCTTTAACTATAGGATGAATAGAAATTTTCTCCAGAAATAAAAGCTTATTCAAGCTGATTGAATCAATTTAAGATAAATATAGTTCTGTACTTATTAGCATAAAATTAATTTGATATAAATCAAATGAAAATAAAACCTTTGAAACTCAAAATTGACATACTGATGTAAAATTTTATATTTACTTAATCTAGTCGCACTTTTTTTCTTATTGTGTTTCGAAGAACCCAATGATATGTTCCATAAGACAGCTAGTATACCGAAACTTACGTCAAGCAATAATTTTACTTAACAGTAATTCAAAAAATTGTGTTAGTGTCACATTCACCTACAAACCAACAACATGTTCCTTCCCCTTCTCCACGTTACCATTGTGAAGACATAAAGAAAAATATGCTGCAGAGAGAGTGGCAAACATCTGACTATCATTTTGACTGTAGCAAATGAAGTCATATAGAAAACACGTAGGATCATTTGGTTCTTCGGGGCCAGGGAAAGTGAGAAATCAATTATGCCGTCGCTGGAAGTTGAGTCCTGGATGATTCAATTGCTATCTGGGTGTGATACTGCTGGCACCGCAAGAGCATGCGCAAGGTATGAATTAACCTTTTATAAAGATGTAAATAAAACAGTTTTATTTAATTCTGAGAAGAAGGAAGAGTTATCAGCGAGAGATACTTAAAAACTAATTGTTTCTTTCCATAAACCTAAACACAGGAATAATAATAACAACAATATTTGAATAACTGGCTTGATTTACTAACCGTAACACAATGAAAGGTCATGAAAGGACTACAATAATTTTCTACATTTCTCTCTACCTAAAGATAAAGGAAGAAGCAATCTTGAATGTAAATTGTGCCCTTACCCTTTCTATGGTCTTTATCCCTTATTATTCAAATACGAGATAAAGGCCATTGAAGCCAGATGTGGAAAAAATCTGTCTTTTTTTAGTAATTAATTCTTTACAATTATTATTTTTTAAATCTTATTAAAGTGGTGAATCAAAAAGAGAGATTTCATATAACAATAAATTCTGATTATAGGCTGTTAGTTTGAAATTTAATAAGATAGAAAGCATATGCACATCATTCAAGATAAACATTCAGAAAAAATATACAAGACACACAAACGCTTTTGATGCCGCCATTGTAGACGATGACTTGAGCTAAACCCTAAATCAAAACTAATGTTTCCAATTGCTCTTTCCCTTTACTTCTTGGAATAAAAATGAGTTTGTTAAATCAAGTTATGATTATTTTTTAAGAAGATTAACTACTCTTTCTAAAAAGCGATGGAATAAATGGCTATGCACATATTGTAAGCCACATATAATTCGGATTAATAAAGAAGTACCTTAAACTAGTAATTATACAGCAAGAAGGCGTTTAAAATAGATAATTTAAGGGACATGACACAGTTTGTAGCTTCAGCACATTTTTCTTGTTTTGATTTTTTAAACATATTTTTTTTAAATATGGATATTTAGCGGAACCACGAGGTATATCATGAAATAATTTATACCACAAGGTACAACTATGGGGAAAACGAAGAGGTAGATTTTACTTCTTAAAAAATAAATATTCCAAGTAAAATTAAATATATTTTACTTCTAAAAGAAAAATTAAGGAATAAATATAAAGTTAAATATGCTTTTTAATGTTATGCAAGCACAAATAAAGGCCGCTGTGATATACACAGTAGAATTTTAAGGGAACATTATGTTCAATTCTAGTAATGTATTATTAAATAATAAAATACTTATTGACGAAATAACCTTTTTTACTATAAATGTGCAGTTCTTTTTTTTCTTCAGTAATGTTTTTAGTTCTTTTATAATTCTTAAGGGAAGGGAGAGTTCCTTTAACAAAAGTTTTTATTTATGTTCTGGATGTGCTGAACTTCTCTCTTTGTTTTCTACACATATACGCACTTAAACTTAAATACTTCGTTCAAACTTCCTAGTATATAAAGTATGAATATTAAAACATAAACAGGAATTTACATACATATAGATCTTCTATTTTGAATGAGAATAATATTTACGCCAGATTCAATGAGAATTCTTGATTTGATTTTTAGTATAAAAATTTCCAACGTCTTTGAATGATTATGGAAATAATGATAAATTTAAATCACCTTCTCTGCAGCATTTTGCAAAATATCTTGTCATATGACACACAGTTTTAGAAGGGCATAGCTTAGATCCATGGCCTTTTCCGCAATAATAATCTTTACCGGTTGCTGGATCAATTACAGGAGGTTCGCCATCGCATGGTATGTCATCATGATCTAAAAGTAAAAATTTGATTTGATACATTAGTCTTCATAATGAAATACAAATATATGTTAAATACACCTCTTGGCAAGGAATTAATGAATCAGAATTAGCTTATTTTTAGTTCCTAAGAATTGGGGCTAGACTGCACAGTAGTTAAGCATTAATTACCATTAAAATTTTGTTCATTTAATTTATTTGTTACCTCTATGTATAACGAGACGCAATAATAACTAAAAATAACAAGGGAAACTTTACTTCAAAAATTATAAGAATTATTTTAAGATTATATTATAGAAATATAATGTTATAGATATTTTATATTATTATATTATAGAAATATAATATTATAGATATAGAATTATTTTATATAAGAATTATTTAAGATATTTTCTGCCAGTATATGTTTCTGGTTTTGATTGACTTACCCAAGCAGTTTTCTCTCTCAGAAGTTTCAATACGCTTTTGCAAGAGACAGGACTCTTCCCTCATCCTACACTCATTATCATACATTCTTCCATCCGATCCGCAGACAGGTTCTTTAATCGCAGGGCAGTGGAAAGTGCAGACACAAAACGGATCCCCTTCCGCATTGAAATCGCAAATGCCGCCATATTTGCACTGTTTTTCATGACAGCTGCTTATTTTTCTTCTCTTGAGCGCCGGTAAATCATCTGCAAGAAAAAAAAATCCTCTCTATGACATCACATAACAACGAAGTTGCTAAAAGACTACAGATGGTGCCCAGAAACTAGAGCTTTACTGTATGATTAATAGACTTTATAAAAGGAGTTCATTCAACACTTGGCATACGACAACCGTATATGGTATAAGCTGAGAACCGCTAATTAAATATATCCAAGCCCATTTAAAGTAGGTTTTGTAGTAGATAACCACAGAAAATACATACTTTTATATTTTTCTCTAAAATTAGTTCTTGTTCCCGCCCCCACCCTCCATTTCAGACGACAGAGTATTCATTTAACTCAGTTGTATATACTACTTTGAAAATAATACTAGCACAAACTTTAAATATTAAAATGCTTAATGTTATTTTAAAAAGGATGTTTGACAGTAGTCCTTGAAAATGGAGTACTATCAAACATACAAGGAAGAGAGGAGGTACAAGGAAGAAAAATTTATATTAAAACATTAAAAACATATTAAATAAAAAAATGCAATCTGAAATTTTTATATTATATTCTAATATCTCAAAAAATTTTACTTATAAAGTTTACAAAACTTTTTAAAATATTTTAAAATTAAAAATTATAAAATTTATAAGCTTATAGAAAATTCAATTATATTTTTAATTAATTTTTTTTAATTTTCAATTAGAAATTTGAGAATATAGTACAGTTTAACGTCTAAAACAGTTCTGAGGTAAAGGCCTCCGACAAACCTACTAGTTCAAGAACAGAGTACATTCAGCTCAAGATATGGAATATAAGACTGCTGTACAGAAGGGCTCGGGTTCGAATCCCGGAGAAGATATGTATGTTTGTAAATGTATAGTATCTGTGCGACATGGAGGCACTTTAAATATGCGACGAGCTGAAAGTCTTCTTGTAAGATTGGTGGTAGGAGAAATGGGTTGGGATACCCTCGGATTCGACCCGCCGAGGTACTATTTTCAAAATTGCTGCTAAAGCCGGGCTGTCACCTATATGATGCTCAAAACTGTTGCCAGCGACAGGAGCATTTGACTCTTTGCCACAATGAATGTTGTATGCTTGTGCTGACCATTTGCCAGACAAATGACACAGGTAACAACAGTGCAAGGATCGATTAAAACGGTTATACCAAATGATAGGGGACAATTTTTCCACGCTATCGTATCATCATAAATCAACACCATGTAAGGACTTTCACTCTTATTTATTAAAGAAAAGATTTAAAAATTTAAGTCATAGTTGTGAGTTTATTTCACTTTACTACTTGCGCAAGACGCTTGTGATAAGCTCTCTTAAGAAACAATATTTATAATTTTGATAACATACACAGATATATTAATGGATTACAATCGCAACATTGGTATATTAATACATTATAATTTGTTTTCTATTAACACTTGCACTTCGATCTAATTGAACGTTTTTGTTCGGTCATGAAAGGAATGCTGAACACAAAAGAGAGCTAGTCAAGATATTTTTCAATGTCAATAACAATCAAAGACTGATTTCATGACGATCAGAGGTAACAGATGTGTAACAAGCACTGACGTCAACGTTAAAATTTGTGGAGCAAATATCAGATTCAAAAGAAAATAGATTTTATATTAGGTTTAATACAAGTTTTGTAAATATGTATTTCATGAAAATATGCTTTGATTTTATTACTGTGTTCAGTTTATTTTACATATTACTGCTATTAATAATGGCGATACTAAACTCGTATTTCATCGTAATAAAATTTATTGCAAAGTAACTTTCAATAGTACAAGTGTTAACACTGAAACATCAAAAAGTCATTTGCAAGCAAGAATTTCTACATCAGTCTGCGCTCAAGTGAAAATTACGGTCTGTCTCTTCCTATGGTCGGGTCGGTGCTGATAGCCATAAACATGCCGATAATATCCTAATTCAGTTGTTCATAAATACACTAAACGCGAGAAATGGCGTTAGAACGAACTTAATAACTGGCTTTGCGAATTCAACTCCTGGAGCAGACAGTCCAATCTTTTAATTTATTGCAAACGTTCTTATTTGTTGTTAATTTACTTACACTCCCTTTTATCTTTTGAATTGACTTTTTAAAACTACAATCCATTTTCTGAAAAGTTAACTTACATTACACTGAGTACAACATCACACAAAAGTCTTCTTACAAAACCTATTAGTATACTGTTCACCTCTTATGGAGATTTTAAAAAAGATTCATTACCATCTACAGATTCGGTATCTTTGGATATTGATTCGCAACTCCCATAAAATTGTACTGAAAGATCTCTTCCTTTCTGGCAGGCCGCTCTCTTCATTTCACATTCACTCATGTAGGTTTTGCCGTCGCTAGAGCATACGAATTCAAAAGCCGTTGGGCAATCTGTCGGACAGACGCACCTTCCGTTATCACATCTGGCGCCATGTTTGCAATGGACGTGCTCGCAGGATTCTGGAAGGAAGAAATAAAATATAATAAATACAATCTGTTGGATAACAATATAACATATTATGAAGCTTTCCCACGCATTAATCTTGTAATAAGTCGAAGGCATCATATTTATGAGGTGCACCAAGGTAAATGCATCCACACCTTATATTTTGAAGATTCTGAAGGAGACAACAAGTAATAAAAATAAATTTAATACGGTCTTTTTTATTATCGGCTTTAATAGAAAAGCTAGTAAAGAGATGACCTATGTGCCCACGCTTTTATACTTTTTCTGTCTATCACCTTCCAAGTATCTACAGATCCTAGGAGTAAGATAAGGAAGGAAAGGGACTTGATTTTGCCAGCAACGGAATTTTGTTTCAAAAGCTAATATTGCGTTTCCATTCTTGTAATACTGAGTTTCTATACACATACACACACACACCATCAGATACACCAAAAAAAAAAAAAAAAGCATATGAAACAATATAATTATTTTATGTTGATTTATAAGATTTTATTTTAATTTATTTTATGTTTACGTAAATTTAAATAAGATGATTTGTACGAAACTATATTTAACCTTAAAAACATTCATTATAAGCATTGTTAGTACCGAACTATACGCTATTCATATTCGGATGTATTGATTTTCGAAACTATGCAATGCTGATGATTAGTTAATGGTATATTTAATAGTTTCCAGATCATATATGATATTTATCATTTTATGAATATCAATAGAAAGTTTTTGCTTCAAAAGAAAGTGCTAAAAGACATCTAATCTGGTGATCTATGGGACACCAAGGTTAGTTAATTAGTTAAAGCCAAACACGTGAGCGATTTGCCAAAAGAAATTATATTTTCGCGGGTGACTTTCGCAAGAGAATTCACACTGATTTATGTTATATATGGAGAAAATCACGAACATCCCTAATGCATTACTAAAAATTTGAACTAAGGTCGAACTATCAGTACATGCGTTTTTGCCCGCTCGGCTACAGATGAGCAGGAAAAGCAACCGTATAGCCATCCACCGACATATTGTCCACCAAAATTCTAGCACAGACTATAAATGATCTTAACCATACAGTGGACCAGATGAATAACATCAATGAATATTAACTGATGAATGCAACATTTTGCATTAAATGTAACAAATATCCTTTTTCAGATACTTGTATTCGTCTTAGGCATCATATTTATCGAACCCTAAAAACCCATTTAAAAATATAGAGAATTTTTTTTTTTTTTTTTACTTTGACTGTACTTAGTGTTTACATCACATTATCAGTACTTAATCTTATCCATATGTTTGCTATTTCAGTACAATAAGGAATTCTTTCTATTCCGTATATTGCAAAAAGCTTGGCTTCAGCCGGAACTTGAACCAAAAGCTCTTTCCAGTGGCAGTTAATTTTGAGTAACTAAAATCACCTTTAGAGACAATTTATACTTTATATGGTGATATAAATCTGAGAACTTTCTCCCTAACTATTGACAGAGAATGCGATCTGACCAAATATGCCCTTCACAGCGTGGAAACCTTTATAAATCTAGCCTAAAAATTGCTTTCATATTTAGCTAAAATATGAAACTGCTATCATTTTCGTTGGTTCATCGTCAACTTACTTATTACTATTCTTTATTTTTTCGCAGCTTAATTAACTTTGAGTGTAAATTACTACTTGTTTTAGTTTATGATGATACAACTTCAGGATTAGCAAGAAAATGCAATGAATAACTAAGATGTCTGTTACAATGGCTATACAAATGTACTCTACGTTTAATCTAATAGATATTGGAAGGCATCGGATTTATTTATAAAAAGAACACGCTTTGAAAAAGGCAAATTTGCATTATTATAATATAGACTTGTTCAAAAACTTACCACAGGGTCCTTTAGTAGCAACGGCTATGTACTCTTGTCGTCTACACGCTTCAATTCGCAATTCACATTCATTTGGATAAGTCACTCCATCAGTTCCGCATACTGGAGCTTCAACCTATATTTTAAACATTTTTCAATGAAACACAGCAGACTCAGATTTAGCAAAGTTTACAAATCACAAAATTTTACACTTTTTTTAATTACAAAATTTTACAAAGCTAAAAGATGGTTTGTAAAAAAAAAAAAAAAAAAAAAAAAATTCTGAAAGCTTTCAGATTGTGAATCATGCCTAAAGAGGCGTTTTTGTTATGTTTCATGTGTTACCAAACATCGTGTTCTTCGTACTTCGTTAAAGTTCCAAGTTCCTAATTTGGGCTTACCCGTATTCGAATGGTAGACTACTTTACTCAAAATTTGATGTCTGTAGGTATTGTCATCTTTTCACAATGCGAGAAACATACATACATTCATGCAGGCTCTTTATTATTTAATTTCATTAAATATAATGCAAGTCTCTAATATTTGGTGGCAAAAATTTGAAAAATGAAATGCCATTGCATAGTGGACGACGCAAAATGCCAAAATGAAATTAATAGCCCTTCTGGGAAAATTGCTCCTTTGGGCTAAAACGAAAACTTAAATTTATAATGTCTTCTGAAAAAATAATGGCGGATGTGATCCATAATCTTTGTAAACCACAATACTGGAAAGTATTTAGAGCTCTATAAATTCAATCAATTAATCGATTAAAGTTCAAATATTAGTAGAATTATTTCATATGCCCAAATATTTCAATATTTATATTAAAACGCATGTCCGGAGTTCCGCTGGATCAAAATTTATTAACTATAAATTCTTCCATTTCTGTACGTAAATTCATCACTTTGCTGTATACTGCTTAAAATGACACTTCATTAGTTTTATGGAAAATTTGCTTCCAAAGTAAAAATTTTAAGCACGTGCTGAAATCGCATTTTCTCACGCATGCAATAAAGCATTCCTCGAAAGTCCTAAAACAGAAGACTCACAGCTCTTACACCATCTGAATCGCTTTCAACATATACCAATCCCACCCATTTTATTGCTCACCATCTTAAAAGCGTGACTAAGATTTGGGTGCCACAGGTGAATCATAGTCGTTACCCAGAGCCAAGATAAGCTTTTTGAAAGGCAGAGAATCTAAAGAAATAAACTATATATTCCCTTATAAGAATGTGGGTCATCCGAGGAGTAAAGCTCTCTGGAAAAAGATATTGTCTGCTCAGTACTGAAAAAAAAACAGGCCGTAAAAGTATAATTAATGTTTATGGACTCACTTTAATGCACACTTCTGGGCAGACACAGCTAGTTGCTCCTCGTCCAAAGCTTTCACAGACGGCATAAAAATCACACTGTTGGGCGTAGCAAGCATCTAAAAGGAGAGAAAGAAACGGTTTACGATAAATTTTCTACCGATGCATAAAATGCTGCAGAGTGTTTTAGGAGCTGGGAAGAATGTCTTATTACCAAACGTAATAAATGGATAGATAGATGCAAGGGATAGTGAATTTTTTGGTTATGCTTACTTCAGATTTTTAAATGATAGCTAAACTTTTTTGTTTGCAAATTTCTTGGAGTTTCAATAATATTGTGAACGTATGAATCAGAAATTCATAATATCTTTTAATATCAAAGCATGAAGTTTTATCAATTAGAAAATAGTTAAATTCGGAAGCTTTATATTATTCAATCTTATGTGCAAATTAAATGCATTTCTCGGGTTTAAACACAGGAATTAGAAATTACCTTCCTGCGACTTTAAGGTCAAACAATTTTAAAGCATACAAATTTGACAGTATCTTTTTTTTGTGTGTGTGTGTGTGTTGCATTGTGTGTTTTATGAAAATGCCCTGATTATGTGCAGATTAAATATATTTCTTGGGACTAAATAGCACTGAGAACAAACACATGAATTAAAATTTCCATTCCTGCAATCACAAAGTCAAATAATTTCAAAGCATGCAATTTTGATAATAACTAACTTTTTTTTCAATTGCTCATTTTGAATAAACATTAGCTCAAAATCATGTTCTTCACTCTTTTTCACAATTTAAATGCATTTTCTCTTTCGTTTTATTATAAGGATTATACGCAAGTCTTGAACTTATTACACTAATGACACTTAAACGCTTAAAATCTACCACACTAGGCAGACTGAGGCGATTTTATATGTTCAACATATTAAGTAAACTCTTATGGTTAATTAAAATAGTTTAGAGTTCTAACAATGAGGTTCTAACAAAATCTTAAGAAAAGGAAAATTTAGCAACAGACAGGCTTCACATTACACCAAACATGATTCGTGGTGCAGTTCAGTCTTTAGAAACATGCGGTTACTGCTTTAAAACACTATACTTCAAAATTAAAGATTTAAAGGTATTATTATCTCTGCAATCACGAGAAAGAAGATGATAATATCCCGCAATTTTTTTTAATTCAATGTCTCTCGAACTTAAATAATTTCCCTTTGTTGCCTTCATATTTTCTGCAACGGAAAGAAAACCTTTGCTACCTAGACAATTTATGGCAACTTAAAGCTAATTATAGCAAGATAATAAATAATATTCAACATTTTAAGATGGTGGTATTTAGTTGCATGTGTATCGGTAAATGGAAGCGAAGCAAAAGCTCTCGGAAGACGAAGAAGATAAATTATTTGGTTAAGTAATTAAGGCAAAGTATACCAGGATTATATTAATGATACGGGAGCCTTCGTATGAAATTTTCTGAAGGAAAGTGGCTTGTATTTATTTCACAGATTGAGAAAAACAAGTAAACCTATGCAGCCAGCTCGCTCGATGGGAGCTGAACAGGAATTAAACTACCAGTTTTCGGTGGTTTTTTTACGTTTTACCCATTCGGCCAATCATAGGTTCTGGATACCAGCTTACACTGGTAGACGCTATTGATGACACAATGGATAATTCGATTAAATCGTAAGCGTTTCTGGCAGATACAGAAATTATCAGTTGCATCCAAATTAAATTTTTTATTTCTTGAAAGTAATTTAAAATTATACATATTACTTCAGTTATTATCTTTTTCCCTTAAATGCCAACAATTTTAGCATATTATTTTAAGTCTTCCCTAATTCCTTTGTTTAATATCTTTAACTTTTCCAGAAGCGTGATCGAGAACAAATCAGTGACAATATCGAGAAGCCCCAAGGAAAATGTCAACAAAGAAATGCCTTAAATATAAACAGTTTTAGCTTATTATCCAGGTATTTCCTAATTCCTTTGTTTAATATTTTTAATTTTTCCAGGAGGGTGATTGAGAAGAACAAATTAATGACAATATCAAGAAGCCTCAAAGAAGCGTATAAAGAAGGCAAATCATAATAATTGGAAGAAAACGAAGGAAAGTAGAAAATAATAACAGGGAAGGCTATATTTATAACGTAAAAAATTCAGTAAATGTATCCATTATACCAGTGCTCCGCAACCGGTGTGCCGTGGCACACTGTTGTGCCATGAGTAGAATATAGGTGAGCCGCAATCAAATACATGTATTTGACATTTTGCAATTTTTTATCATGTATTTAATACACAATGACAATTTTTTTCCTTAATAATGTCTATTTTAAATGTTTTTATATATTTCACTGTTGTGTGGTTGTGTGTGTGATTGTAAGTGTGTCAGCATTTGAATTTTTTCGGCACTTCCTTGATAACTCGGAACTCTTTGGTGTACCACGAAATTCCAGAAAGATTTTTTGTGCGTCGCAGGTGAGAAAAGGTTGCGGAGCACTGCATTATACTGTGCATGGGAAATATTTTGAATGTTTCAGTTCAAAACGTCCTTCTCCAAGAAGCTAATATACACTCAAATGCTTCGAAGAATTTTTGTATTAATACAGTTGGAAACTACAATATCGCCATATACTCAAACGTAAAATGGCTTCATATATTGGATGATTCTGGGAATATGAAGGCACTTTACATGGCTGCAGGTAAGATAGCCTCATATATATATATTATATGCTTTAAATGCTAAGATAAAGTATTTTCTCCCTCTTATCAGCATGCCTTCGTGGTTTAACGGTAGCACATTCAGCGGGTATTCGAGAGGTCCAGGTTCGAGTCCCGGCGAAGGCACAGCTCATTTTTCAAGTCTCCAGCATCGAAAAACCTAATGTTTCTACAGAGGTGCCTGAACTGAAAGGTGGTAGACAAAAATTCGTCCCCACCAAGATTTGGCAATTGAGTCTCCTAATCCATAGTCGCCCTTTAAAAGGGAAAGTATATAAGGTATTTTCTCCTTCCTTTCAGCATGAATTAGTGGTGTAACGTTAGCACAATCAGCGCGTATTCAAGAGTTCCACATTCGAGTCCCTGAGAGGGTATTCCTCATTTTTCATCTACTGCTTCAAAATGACCAAATAACTCTACAAGCTGAGCATATAAGACAAATAAGGTCTCCAGAAAGATATTTTAAGGAAAGAAGTTTCGTTATTCGAGCTAATGTAACACTAATAACTTACTTACTTAGAAACTGAAGTTAATTGAACTATCAAACTTTTAATTTAATTTTACATTATATTTCCTCTAAAATGTGTTTAAATATGTTATACGTGTGTATTAAGTGCATATACAGTTACTCCAAATTATACACATGATAATTATAAAGATTTATAAATACTATATTTTTGATTTTTTGGGGAAACAAGTAAGAATATGATAAAAAATAGAATTTTTTAAAAGTACAACTTTCTTCAAATAGTTGTTTAATTCAACTTTACATTAAAAACAGCCTCTTAAAAAATGTTGGTTCTGTACAGAAGAGAAAAAAATTGCAAAGTTTAGTGTTATGTGATTGTTTGCATTGCAAAGTTTAGCATTATTCATTAAACACTATTCTAGTAATTAAGACATTCTAGTAATTAAGACATTCTAGTAATTAAGACATTCTAGTAATTAAGACATTCTAGTAATTAAGACATTCTAGTAATTAAGACATTCTAGTAATTAAGACATTTATTCTAGTAATTAAGACATTCTAGTAATTAAGACATTCTAGTAATTAAGAATTTAGTAATTAAGATTCTATAGTAATTAAGACATTCTAGTAAGACATTAAGTAATTCTAGTAATTAAGGACATTTCTAGTAATTAAGACATTCAGAATGACATTCTAGTAATTAAGACATTCTAGTAATTAAGACATTCTAGTCTTCGTTAAAGCACTGGTTTCTCTCTAAATACCGGTTGATGTGGTAGGTAAAAGACTGATTTACCAATAGGTATATTTTCATCTGACACTTTCTCAATAATATCTTGCTTGGGATAATCATATAATATTTCACTATATGTAGAAAAACTGTGTTTTGTCATAATTCAATCGCTTTGCAAGAGTTTTTAATGTATTTTCCGCTACTCGGAAATTATCAGCTAATTCACTGCAGTCCCTTTTTCAAGGTAAAGTAACCTCGTAGCGACCAGCTTTAAAAGAAACTATCTTAAGTATTTCCAATGCTTTGTCTTCCTCATGACAATAAGGATCATCTTTAATTCCTAATAATTCTAGTTCGAAACACATTTTCAATTCAATCTCTGAATTATCATTTATTGACCCACAATACGATATATTATTTCGTCATGAATCATTTATTAATACAAGAGTTTCCAACTGAACGTTTTCTTTTAAAAATTTCCACTTGTGACGTTCTTGTATGATCTTTAAGAAATTCTATAAGATCTGTTAAATTAGGCAAATTCTCTTTCTCAAATTTTCTTTCCCACCATATTTTGGTGTTAGGATCTAATTTTTGCCCTAAAATGTATGCAAATACATTAGAAGAAAACTCTTTAACACTCTGTCTCAATGAATACGAAGGCAGTAGATAAAATCACGTTTTTCCCACTATTAGTACCCGTAGCAGCTGTACAGGTTTCGTTTTGAGTTTTAGCTTTAAATGCAGATGCATGTACATTTAACGTATTTCTGTTTTGATCACCCAACTCCTGATCTGAAGTGTCTGCTCTTTCTACTATGGTACCAACGGAATTATTTTCGTTTTGATAACATAGAGAAAGCTATGTTTTTTTCTTACACTTCTTGCACAAGTAATTAGAACGGCAATTTCTCACATTATGCAAATTAAAACAACAAAAACATAGATTATGTTTTTTCATAAATTTTACCCTTTATTTCACACTTAAATTCTGAAATTTATGTGTCAAAATACTCAGTTTCCAGGAAATCCAAAATCAAGCTTCTAATGTAAGGATTATAAAGAGTTTATATATCTTGAAAGCAATAACATTCTGAAAAGTTTCGTGCCTAGATAATATCAAATAACTTAGACGTATCATATCTTCTGTGATAAGAAAAAGTGTTACGCCATATCTTATAAAGATTTTTTTGCCATAATGTTTAGAAACCTTTATTTTATATTTGCGTATTTACAGGAATATTTAAGGTGAACAATTAAAGTGAGATAAACCTTTACCTCGTAACCAGGTTTAGTAAGAAGTAAACTTCAAATAAAATATTGAATTGAAACTACAATGTTTGGCATTCTTTCTTAAACATAATATTCACGTAACATTATTAAAAGTCAATTCCAGTGTTCTACATTTAATCCAAGTAAAAATAAAGATTATTATCCTCAAAATCTAAAATGTTCGTTACTCTTAAATTTACATGGAATGATGGAATGAATGCAGAGAAATTGCCGAGTGTTGATTTCTCAATATATTTTTATGTAGTGTTACGAATTTTGTATTTAGATAGCTACATTTAGTAGAATTGTAATTAAAATTGTTTTATTCCTCGTGAAATGCAGCGCGTGATAAATTTTAAGAGAAAGCTACGCCGAAAAATTAAAAATATAAGAGCACGTGCACTTAACATTGAATAAATGGATATCTCTTTTATTTTTATCGAAATTGTATAAATGTAATTGACTACTGTGTTAGCTGTAACGGTAATTCCATCCTTTTGTTGGTTTCCAGAAATCTGGAGAAGCAAAGAAATTACTAGAACTCTCTCGCGACCGATTGAAAGCTTTGAAATGCCAGAGAGAGACATCTCAGTTCAGTTTCTGTTTAGTTAGCTGCTGTTGTTATTGTTGATCGCATTAGCTTTCTCTGTGCTGTGCTTTGCGTTCTATTTAACGTTTTAGTAGTTTAAAGTATAACTACTGATTATTACTGCGTGATATTGTGAACACTTGTACGAATATTTCTGAGAAAAATTCCAGCGTTTTGTTATATTTCTTTTGCTAAGAACAAATTTTATTAACCTTTTATCGGACTTGTTCATTCAATCTATTACAAACCCGTACGCACGCAGCAAGTTATACAGGGAAAAATTGATTTTTTTATCGATGTACAGTTAACGTATTTACATATGAATATCCATGAGCATTTTCGAATACTAAGTTATGAATTAAGATTAAACAGAAATGAAATATTATTTGTAACATACTCGTTTTTGTACCTAGGCGTATTTTAACGAATACTTACTACAAAGACCATCGTGAGCAATAATAATATCAGATTTTTGTTCGCAGGCTTCCCGTTTCAACTTGCATGCATTCGTATAAGAAATTCCATCTGTGCCACAGAATGGCTCGAATTCTTCAGCACAAGTTGGGCATTCACAAACAGGTTGCCCATTTTTCACCACACACATGGCACCATAGGAGCAGTGATGAGTGTGGCACGGTGTATGCTCACCTGAAACAGAATTTATATTCATTTTGCTGCCATTTAGTTCTAAAAAATACAATAATCAGTTGAAATTTCACTGCTGTAGCAGTCATAAATTTCTAATATCATTTTTATTTGAAAAAAACGCCTATATGAAAAGTAGGCACAAAAAAAAATTTAAAAACTTGTATTTAGCGTAAATTTAATTGAAATTCTATCGATTTGCAGAGCGAACAGATACAGCTCCCTCTCCATCAGCGAGTCTACGACAGTATACCAAAAAAAAAAAAAAAAAAAAAAAAAAAAACGCCAATTTATACCAAAAATTTCCACCAAACACTAGGTTGTTCCTTTGCCTAATTTTAAGTTTTACATTAGCGTGTTTTTTTTTTCTTTTGATCCATATATTAATTTTAAAAGCTTATATATAATGCTGCTATTTACAAAAAATAGTAATAATGATAATTATGAAAGTAATTTCCTTTCACTGTAGAAACATTAGGTTATTTCGAAACCAGAGAGATGCAAAATGAGCAGTGCCCTCACCGGGAATTGAACCACGGACCTCTCGAATACGCGCCGAGCGTGCAGACTACTACACTACGAAGAAATGCTAAGAAATACTTTATATACTCTCTTTTCAAAGGTCGGCTGAGTATTAGGGGACCTTAGTCCTCAAATCCCAGGGGTGGAGAATCATCAGCCACCATCCTTTTAGTTCGGGCACCACTATAGAGACATTAGGTTATTTTTGAATTTCTCATACTGATATCATAAGGAAGAAGATAAGGAAGAAGTGAAAAATGAGCAACGCCTTTCCCGGGAATCAAGCCACGGACCTCTGGAATACGGGCCCAGCCTGCAGACCACTACACTACGAAGATATGCCAAGAAGGCGGGAGAAATACCTTATATCACTATTCATTTTAACGTTAAGTGTGTAACATGTTTTCTATCTATTAATTCGTATTAAGTATTAAACTTTACTTTTAAAAGAGTTATAAGGTATTTCTCCCACTTCCCTAGCGTGCCTTCGTGGTGTAACGGTAGCACACTGAGCCGGTATTCCAGAGGTCCGTGGTTTGATTCCCGGCGAAGGCGGTTGCATATTTTTTATCTTTTCTGCTTCCAGTTAACCTAATGTCTCTACAAGTGGCGCCCGGATTAAAAGGGTTGTGGATGATGATTCTCCGCACCCAGGATTTGGCGACTAGGTCCCCTAAAACCCTAGTCGCCCTTTAAAAAGGGGAGTATATAAGGTATTTCTCCCACTTCCCTAGCGTGCTTTCGTGGTGTAACGGTAGCACGCTGGGCCGGTATTCCAGAGATCCGTGGTTTGATTCCCGGCGAAGGCGGTTGCCTATTTTTCATCTTTTCTGCTTCCAATTAACCTAATGACTCTACAGAGTTAACTTAAATTGTTCAAAATTTTAAAGGCAAGCTTAAGCATATAAAGTACTATTAGTAGTTTAAGTAGGTTAATTCATTTTCTTAAATGTTATCATTGGGAAAATATACATTATTTTTGCAATATTTTCGATTAACTAAACAACTTTGATTCCAGGTTTTGAACTTTTCCTGAATTTAATTCAACTTTGTACAGAAGTATCATATGGAGATAAAACGTGTTATTCAGAAGACGCAAACCGAAACACTCAGGGATACTGAATTCTAGCAGTTAGTTGTTTTAGATTTTTATTGCCATAATTTCTCATACTGATATCATCTGTGGGTGAAATGGTCCTTATCCAAGCAGTCTGGCACAATGACTGTAAGCGGGTAAGTGTATAACTTTTATAGTTAACAAAATGAAGTGGATGGGAATTGCTTAGATTAGTTAACATTCCCCTTGACAGATTCCGAATCACTACTTTACCGAAAGAATAGTCTGGTCCCTGTCGGCGCAAATGTTAAAATATTTATCTACAATCCACTTGTTAATTACAGAAATAAAAACCAAAGACAATGGATTTAAGTAAAATTTCTATTCAGAGGTACGATTTGGTTGACTTACAGATAAAACTAAAACCCAAGTAGTAGTGCCTAAACATTTTATGGCAGTATCAGTAACAGAAACTAAATACATCTTTGTAAGACCCTCAGACCCATTCCCCCGGGCTGCTCTTCTTCAAAATCGGGAGGGGGGACTGATCAGAGTGGTACTGTCCAAAGCCCAAAGCCCATACCTGCCCAAGGCCAACGACAATGTTGCCTCCTTGCCACGATGAATTTAACGGGCTTGCTGTGATACCAAATAAGCGAGATTCGTCAGAAAAATAACATATATATCCTTATTATATACTACTTTGATTTGAAATATAAAAAACAGCCTCCAGAATTTAAAATATAGAAAAAATGAACCAAAACTCGATAATAGTCATCAATTCCACCATGCAGTTCATTATTCTTGCTCTCGAACGTAAATTAATGTCCCAAATTTATAAATGAAGCCCAGGAACTTTGCTTTGCATTTCAAAATGTATTTGAAATAAATTTCTATCTCTGTATATTTATACTATTATTACAAAACCACTCTCAATTTTTAAGATTTCCTTATTTTAAATTGCTGCTATATCATGATAAGAGAATAAATTATAATTATATGTTTTGAAATATATACACATCTTGTATATATATATTGTTCGAAAATATGGTATACACTTGAAAAAAATTATAAAGATTAATGATACATAAGTAAACAATTGTTATTAAGTGTTCCTACAAAATTAAACCCTTATTGTCAAGTATCCGTATAACTAATTCATTACTTCAGGCTGCAGCATGTTTAGAGAGCTTTCATTTAAATATTTATTAAAATAAATGAGTTACACTGTAAAATTTCAAACACAATGAACGTAATTTTTTAATGCATTTTCCCTGTCAGAAAATATTACAGGTAAACAGCTAATATTTTATATTTCTGTACCTTGAAATAAAATTATTTATTTAAAACTATGAATGACATCTTGATGTTGTATTATGTAAAATATAACAACATATATCGAACCATAATATGCAAAACTTTGCTATGATGTTATTAATATTTTTCGAAATCTAACTTAAACTACATTTTTCAGTTCAGAAATGTAACTGCAGAATTTGATTACCCGAAATCTTTCAAAATCAATAAATAAGACTTCTTCCAGCACGGCGAAACCTAAAATTTTTGTTCTGACTTATAAACTTGCTTTGAGTTATCTTGTTAAAAGACACGTCAGAACAGTAACCATTTTTTGTCGAAATTTTGTTTCCAAGTTCTTATATTTGACATCATGAAATTTCGTAATAAAAACTAGAAGTTTCTTCCGCTAGATGGTGGAAGAAAGGCAATAAAATTTTATATTTATTTCTTACAGTTGCAAAATATTCCTTTAGTGTAGGAAATCATACTTTTACGTCACAAAACATTTGAGCTTTATCTATTATTTTGTTAGATTTTGATGTTTCAGAAGCTTCGAATTATAATGGATTTTTCCAATATAAAAACTGTAAATGGATTCTAGCATTCCAATCTACGAAACTAAATCTAAAACTAAATCTATACTTAATATGAATATTAATGACGGAATCATTCTTCAATGTGTTTATCCGTATGCTCGAAGGCAATGAGATTCTAATTGTAAATTTGGAATTCCGTGGAATATATTCAGATGTTTCAAACATTTTAACTAAAATGTAGAGGGTTTGTAGCATTTTATAACTCTTCTATCAAATGCTTCTTATACAAATACTGTGAAGATCATACTTTAAATGAATAAAAAATATTAAATTTACGTAAGTGCTATTCTGTAGCCTCATAAGTTGACTCAAATACTGCCTCCATCTTCTGTATCGATATCGTGCGCCAGGGATGTGATATGAGTCAAAAACATGGCTACATGTTTGAAGTAAAGGTAGTGTAATTCACTGTAGAAGGAAATAGGATTGTACGTGTAGTATATATGTTACCGACAAAGTATGAAACGCCGGCATTCTATAGAATGCCTAGGCCTTCTATATAATGCCGGACGTTTTAAGGCCATTTATGAAATATAAGAATTATTACATCCTTTTCTTAGGCATTGCATGTAGTACCTAAGCATTCTATAGAATAACAAATGCTCTTTAGCCAAAGTATGGAAAAAAGGTTATGATAAGGCTATTATTTAATATACGTTCATTCCTCAAAAGTACTAATGGGCCCACCACCGGCCGAGCGATAAAGACGCTTAACACTGGTAGTTCGGTCCGAATCCCGCGAACGGGCTGGCTGCGTGGGCGTTTTCGTGGTTTTCCCATGTGTAACGTATATACGAGCCAGTTTCTCTTAGAAAGTCCTCCACGAAGGCATTCCTCTCTTTAGTCAGATAGCTCTCATGTGCTTTGCCATAATTGAATAATCCAATCCAATCCAAAAGTACAAATGTTATTTTGAAAATTAATGAAAGAGTGCCATTAAAAACTGTTATTTAAAATATGTAAAAAAATAGAGAGATGATCTTGATATAACATAATAAATTTGTATTTTCTATCTGGCTGAGACTGGGAATCAGTAAGATCTACCTGACAGCGGAAATAAATTCAGAAACAATCAATAAGTTTCCTTTTTAATAACCTTTTGTTTTTTTCCGGCAGGGTTTACAAAGGTGGTTGTACAGTTCAATATCATTATGGGTAACGTTTTTGTATTTGATTGATTGAAAGTTATTTCAACATTGTGTCACGTCTTCCGTGTCCAGTACTCAAATGAGTATTCATGAACGGGAAGTAACTCCATGACGTAATACTGTACAGTATTGACGCTTTCTTTAACAGGGCAAATGAATGGACTTTTGTTTTCCACAAACATCACATCCTAGCGATTCAGCGGCCAGTAGTCCGGTGGTTCCTCCTTAGTAGTCATTTTGGCTTTTTTACATCATTTCTTAACTTCTGGTAAGTAGTTTCGGTTCTTCGAAACGAATCGGAAATGCATTTCATATTTTGCCGGTTTGTCATTTTTCATTCTAGAGAACGCCTAGGAAATGTGTGAAAAATGAAGCGTTTCATACATTGCCGTCTTAGGCATTATATACAATGCTTAGGCATTCTTTTGAATGCAAGGCATTGCCAACATCATATACATGGTAGATGTCGGCAATGCCTTTTTGTCGGATTTTCAAGCTTCGCCGACATCATATACATGGTAGAAGGAAAGTGTTTCAGATTTAATATTATACCGATATGCAGCTCAAACCCCCGTTTTTTTATTCGATATTGTTAAGAATTATGTAGCCGAGCTTATATCATTAGGCAAGATGGCGATGAGCACGTAGCACTAGTCCAAGTTGCAAAATGAGCATTTACGCTTGCAATCGTCCATTTTGCAATTCGCATGAAATAACAGAAATACAGTTTTGTTCAAAGTTTTAAAAGAGTTTCCATTTATTCAAGCTTTTCCAAATTTTGAATTAAAATTATTACTTTATTACAGTTTAACTTTTTTTATGTTTCTAGAGTAACACAAGCAAGAACAAATGAAAAAAAAAGGGGGGGGGAATCGTTTTTTCTCCCATCGTAATTCTTACCAAGAATTAAATTCCTACAAAAACTAATTATGTTTGAAATTTTTTATTTCGTTTGAAACAAGATATTTCAAAACTGTGAATTAATATCTCAAAGATGATTTTTTTCCCTTACTCACATTTAAAAATCGGTAGAAAAAAATGTATTTCTCTTTCTAGAATAATAAAAATACGAACTTATTACAGAAATTTAATTACATTTCCCAAAATTAAATAGAGCGAAATCAATCATATCGATTTACCGCATTCTCCTTTGTGCACAACTGTAAGTTCTTGCCTTAAGAGACACGATTGCCTCTTTAACGCGCATTCGTTGTCGTAAGTTCTTCCATTAGAGCCGCATACTGGTTGCATTTTTGGTTCGCATACTTGTGGGCATTGACAAGAAGCTATTCCAAATCTGTCAATGTCGCATTCTTGACCAGGACCGCATCTGATGAGGTCACAAGGGTTCGAACCTGAAAAAATAATTACAAAATTAGGAAGTAAAATTATTGTAAATTAAAGAATACTGGAATTATTAATTGGAACGAAAAGAAAACTGAAAAGTTACTAATGACATTTTTGAAGTAGTAGGGATACGTTTGGACTCCAGCTTATAAAATACACTAAAATTTTCAATAAAATATTATGCACTTTAAAATCTCTACTATTAAAAAGCTGCGTGAGACTGTTTGTTTGTTTGTGGCATTATTTCTTCCGGAACAGCGGGGAATTGAGTTTCGAGAGAGGTACCCCAGGATTCCAAAAATTTGTGGGAAGCCATTTTGACCATTATCATTTTCGTACGGCTTTAAATCAGCCGAGCTATTAATTAAAAACTCTAAAAACGTTAATTTTTTTAACGTTATTTAACGTTAATTTTTTTAAACGTTAATTTGCTCTCCTTTTTCCGAGAGGCAATTGTCTCGTGAGCTGGAGATAAAAATATGCTTTATTTCGAAATATATTGCCACTTCTCGCTTTCAAGAGGTAGAGTTTTTAATCAAATATTTGTAAATTTTACAAAATAGGAAATAAAAAAAAAAACTAAAATCTGAAAGGTTTCAGATTTTAAATTACGTCCAAAGAGATGTTAATTTAACATTTTATCTGTTACCTTTAGTTATTAAATACCACGTTCTTCGCACTTAAACCATAAAATTCATTTCAAGAGCAATATCGCAAAATAGTTTTAAATTGAGCATATCCTTTAGAATTTCCAATACACAGTACCGCGCGCTGGAGGTAAAAATGTTTTTTCTGTACAACGTTGCCATGGCTCGCTTTGAAATTCTTGAGTTTGTTAATTAAAAATTCGTTGAAGTTTTGCAAAATATGAAATCGGTAACGAAACAAATTCCAAATTTGGGCTTCCACATGCCCATATTCGCAGTATTATTATGTCATTAAAAGTTCGATGGCTCTATGTACCGTTGTTTTATCACAATGCGAGAAATATGCATACATTTATGCAGATTTGTCATTATTTAATTTCTTCAAATATAATGCAGCACTCTAACATTTGGTGCAGTTTGAAAAGTGAAATGGTCATTTATAGTGAACCAACATAAAATCGCAAAACGAAAACGATAGTGCTTCAAAGACAAAGCCCCTTTAGACTAAAAATAGCATTGTCAAACATTAAATACATTATTATAATATAAGGTCATATTCAGGCGTGGAAGAAAGTACGCGATTGCATGTGTTCGTAAAAATTTTGGAAAGAAAGAACGAAGCTTAGAAAGAAAGAACGCAATTCATTTAATATTGAAATGTTTTTAGATACTTTCGTTTCAGGTGTACATAGAATATATAAGTTTTGCTTTGGCCGCTCATCTGGTGGGCTTGCAAGCTAGCATTTTATATAATCTGCTATATCTCAACATAAAAAGCATATTTTCTCTACTAGACGAAGTGAATTTAAATACGAATCATTTATTTTAATCTTTCGTTTCAAAGCTGAAATATATTTAAAGTATCAACAGAGGAAAATCAGATTTATAAAAGAATTTTAAGTCAAAATTTGCTCTTTGAGTTGCAGCCATATGAAGATTGATAATTAAGAAACATTTATACTGTATTCGTATTTTACAGAGCAATCTGCGTACGTGACTTTATGTATGCAGTAAAATAATTAATTATTGATTTGGTATGTTGGAAAGTATTTTTCATGAAAAGTTTAGCAAATAATCTTAAATTTGCTTGAAAAAAATTAAATTCTTTCCGAAGCATTTGAAATTACTTTGTTCTTGCCATCATTTCTAGATTTTGCTTTTTTAACGTATAAACCATTTTCTTTTTATTTGTCTACATACCGTTAACTTTATTTATTCATTTGTTTTCAGACTTTGTTTAATATAATGACTCATAATTATTTCCATGGTGCTTGTCGAACATTCCATAGATCTCCAATTCTTTTCATTTTAGTCAAACTTTCAATTTTTTCCAAAATTTTCATAATTTTAGCATAATAGATATTTTTACAAGATTCGAAACTCCCGAAGAAAATTATTTGAAGGGTTGCCTTAGTAAACTGGGGGAATAGTTCATAATTCTACATTATTTGTTTGCATTTGCATTTTGTAGCTCATGTACTTAAAGAAGCTAGAATACGCGCTTGCAAAAGCATGAACTATTCGCTACACAACATCTTGAATCTGCACATCAGATTTGACAAACACGATACTTCTTTACATATTAAGATAAATGCATAGTATGTAGAACTTTATAAATAGTTGTAGTGTCATTATTAACTCCTTAGGCCCACCAGCGGCCGAGCGGTAAAGTCGCTGAACACTGGTAGTTCGGTCCGAGGTTCGAATCCCGCGAACGGGCTGGCTGCATGGGCGTTTTCGTGGTTTTCCCCATGTGTAACGTGTATACGAGCCAGTTTCCCTTAGAAAGTCCTCCACGAAGGCATCCCTCCCCTTAGGCAGATAGCCCTCGAGGCTTTGCCATAATCACACACACACACACATTATTAACTACTTAATAATCTTCATAGACCACAAATGCATTGGCATTTATATTTAATAAATAACTCTAATTTATAATACTTTATCATATAAGCGTAAAAAAAGCCTCACACAGAATAGGGCATGATGACATTATTGTATAATGTAAGTATTTTTGTTAATTTATACAGCGCTTTCGGTTTCATGCATATTCATAGCGTTATACATTGCCTTTATTTAGTACATTTATGCAATAATTTTGTGTATTTTTGTTTAATGGAACTTGCGTCCACTTGTATTCTTTATAAGCGTTTATTTCGTATATTATGTTTTAGGTCTCGTAATTCTAAGCAGAACGACATTTGAATTGTACAATTAACCCAAGCAGAGTAAAAGATAGGAGCAAATACTCCCTTGGCGACTTATAACGATTTCTCGCCAACTTGGTGAAATTTCGGAAAATGCTTTTTTGGAGCAATAGAAGCGTTATTTCCTGTTTTCTAGAAGTACTGGGCAATCCTATAAATACGACTGCGCATAGTCAAGTAAGTAATTAACTGAATGATTTAGCTCAAAATATTAGACGTCTACTCAGTGGTTATTGCTTTAGACCTTGTTCTGTGAGTAATTTTGATGACCCTCGAAATTCTTTGCTTATTAAGAAAAAATTTGTCTTATGTTTGGTTTCCTCCTTGAGATATTTACAGCTGTTTGCTTTGCTGTAGCTCATTAATTTATTTCAACAAACAGCCAGTTACTTCGTTTACATCCAGTGTAATTACTAGGGGCATCTCCAGAACCCGTAACGCACAGAAGTATTTTCTGTTAAATTTGTTATTTACTGTCAACTGCTTTATTATATGTAAATTTTAAATAAACTAGTAAAATTCACATTTTGTAGCATAAAAACCTTTCAAAATTAAAAAAGTACATATATACTAAAGAAGAATAAGTTTTAAAATACTCCTTTGAAGTAACTGAGACGTATTAGAGTAACATATTTTTAAAAAGAATTAATAAGTAAAAACTGTATCTTTTATAAAATAATAAATGATGAAATGATAAAATAATAATATGCAATGAAAGATTCAGTAATAATATATAAAGAGAGATATATAAATATATAAAGAGAGAGAGATAATAATAATAATAGATAAACAGAGATATATAAGAGAGTTATGATAATAATATATAAAGAGAAAGAAAGATGTTTTATTTAGAATCCTTTCAGACAAGATTCAAAGAATTATTTCAATGAAATTACCAGAGCTGCAGTCTCCTGAGTAAATGACTCGAATATTCTTTTGCATTTTGCAAGATTCAGCTCTTAAAGCGCATTCATTGGCGTATGTCTGTCCGTCTGATCCGCATACTGGTCTAAAATCCATAGTGCATACGTCATTGCACCTGCAAGCAGGGTTCCTGTTCTCGTCTAATTGGCAAACCTGATAAGCAGGACATTTTACTTTCTCACATGGATCTAGAAATATAAGGCATTTCATTAGAAAATCATTTACTTCTCCTTTTTGACAATCTTATACAGCAAAAAAAAAAAAAAAAAAAAAAAAAAAAAAAAAAAAAAGAGGATAAATGCATTATATATTTATCTTACTGAAAACCAGTAATAATACAAATTGTGTCAAAAATTATTTCGATCTTTATATTTCGGGGTTTTCCATTGAACATGAAGATATAAATTGCAGAACCATTTGCATTATAATAAGCTAGAACATTTTAATCACATTCTGTAAACATTTACTCGCTGGCTCATATGCCTTTGCAAATATAATTTTTGAAAAAATGTTTAAAAAATGAATTAGAAAGCATTTTTTTAAATGTGCAAAAAAGCTGAAAATAAGTAGAACATATTTAAAAAAATGAGTAACGAAACTGCAAAATCATACTAGAGCTTTTAAGAAGTACTTTTCATCATTCATAGTAACTACATTCTGAACGCGGAAATTTGCTAAGTTCAACTTCGTGTGTCGCCTGATAGACGATACTTGACCATTCCTTAGAAATGCACATTGGAGAAGTTTCTCGTTTATTCTCGTTCATCTGAGTATTCCAGGAATCTGCTTGAAGCTTCTCGAAAATTAGCCCCACATAAAAGGGATGACTAGTTGATTTGAAGTCACATCACTATGAATGTTCATGGCGATAATTTTATGATATAGCCTTCGCCGGGAATCAAACCGTTTTATTTTTTTCATTTTGCCTGCTTCCAAAAAATACCTAAAGTCTCTACAATCATAACATAAACATTTTTAACGGACCATAAGCTTGCATTGAAGAATTTTTAAAGCAATGAAGACTATGTTTGCAAAAGGGCTTATGTTCGAAATTTGTAGAAGAATGTACCAAATGAATTTACGATTGCTTGGGGAAAATACCACAGTGTCTGCATATGCCACTCATCTTTTAAGAAAAACTTACGTATTTATTAGGTACTTGGTGAACGGAAATAATGACTGCATCTTTCTTACAAAAGCTTTATTGGAAGAAAATAACATCAAGTTTCAAGAAAAAGTAGAGAACAATATCCACGAGCATCTAGAAACTTCGAAAGTCCCATTTGAATTTTTTCTGACAGCTCAAGAGAATGTGCTTGAATGACTTTGAATGGATACTAAACTAAATACGTTCAGCGTAAACTTTAAACTCAACTTATCAAGACTACTCAAATGTTGATGGAAGGAATACGATATCTCCACAGATTTTAATCACTCAGCAAACTAAAAGTAATCCAGAATTTCGGCTGCATAAAAGAATAAATTCAAAAGCTTGTTTGAGAAAGCAAAAATGAATGCTGTTGTCGTTCTCAACTGCATATCCCTGTAAAGCAGGATCTTCTGTCTATGCAAATACCAAAGCAATATGCAAAGAATCCGGGTCATTTCAGAACAAGGCATTTGACAGGAATTATAACCTAAAATTAGAGAAAAATTAGAAAAACTGAACCTAAAATTAGAAAACTCTGTACAAAAATGCAACCACAAGTGCCTCATGAAACTTTCCTACGTTTCTATGTTATGATTCATTTAGCCCTACACTGCATTGTAGTTGCATACGTATAGAGTTACATTTTAATTGTCTTCTATAATGACTAATAAAAATTTAAAATATAGAATAATGAACTAATATATATTTGAAGTAAATTGCATGTAAGAAATAGCTTGCGGAATCGAAATTATTTAAGCAACCTAAATATGATGCCCTTAGCAACAGTGTGAAATATCTGTTGTAAGCACAAACTGGTTTAATTTATTGAAATTTCGAAGAACCCGTATGTGCTTCCAACTTTGGACAGTATTACATTAAGAAGAAACCGAGATATTATGGTAAATTAAATTTTTTCGAAATATCATTTGATTTCTTGGACATTAAACAACTACTTAGATATCTCTTTACTTTACGTTTGCTTACCATTTATATGCATTTCTACCTTTGCTCAGTTATTCTTATACATCATTGACTGAAATGAACAAGATAGGCGTAAAGGGCTCACTTAGAGGAATTGCGTATGAAAAGGACAAGTCTAAAAAATTGGGAACAGCTGCTCTATCTCTTTCAATACGTTTGAAAGCATCACAGGTGTGATTTAGTCCTATCGTCTTTGGAGTTTCGCTATGTAAATTTACAGAGACTGAATACTCTGTACAGACACCCTGTATTTGTGCGTAAAATTCTCGGAGTTACGCTGCGCTAATATTTTATTATCGATAAGTTTAATAACAATTACAATTATAATCCCGTACTGAACCACTAATCCTTAAAACATGCAGTTTTTTTTACGCGATGTATACCTTTTCTGAGTGGAGATTATAACAGTACTGGCAGGTTAAAAAATACCAAAAAATAGATTCATTTAAGTCAGTTTCAGTAATAACTATCATTACTAATTCAGTTTTATTTGCACAAAGCACCTTGCTATCTGTCCATACCTTAAACGATGTGCCATAAAAAAGAAGTTTCTAAATGATACGATAAAGGACGAAAATCCTTAAAAGGCGCATTACGTGAGGTAGAAAGAGAAAATCATAAGAGTAAAATGTGATGTATAAACAAGTATTTTGGATAAGTTTCCCTTCTTGTCATTTTTTTCTGCCACAAAATTTTGCGAAATTTTGCCCAATCCAGATATAATATTTGAGGACCTATAAGACTCCTTACCAGTGAGGATTAGCATTAAAACGTTTTCCAATGGAAAATTAGATTTTTCTGGCATTTATGGAGGCGTTTCACATACATAAAAATCTTCCAATTTTGGTTAGTGTTCTGAAATATAATCACTCTTTAGTTTTTCAAGAAATTATTTCTTAGCCACTTTTTATTCATGTTTCCATAAAGAGATGGCGCCAGTGACTTCCTTTTCTGTCATTTAACTAGAAATTTCTTAAATTTATATCTATTATTCTCTTGCTGGCATATGTTTACCTGTCATCATTTTCGTTATTGCAGCTGAAGAAGCTTACTTTGAAACTACGAAACTGTAATCTGCAAATGTATTTATGCTAAGTTGAGCCTTTTTGCTCATTATTAGTTTCACAGACGGTATAAGAACATCAGTAAAAAATTGTATCCAAGACTAAATGTGTGAACCAAGTGACTAAAATGTATAACACAGTGTTAAACATAATTTCTTTTAGCCAAGGTATGTAAAGTATGACATTGGAGAATTCTTTTATTGATTATGTTAATAGATGTTACATTGATGACGTGTTAATTGATATGTTAATACATGTTACACTAATGACATTACTGAGAAGTATGTACATTTTTTTAAACTGCTCAGTTTATTATAAGGAATATATTGCAGTAGTCTGGAAGATAAATTTAAAAATTTATCTCGTGAGGAATGAGAATAACCATGCAATTTTCCAGGTTTTAAGAATTTTGCCTTCTTCGAAAAGTTCTTTTTTGTATATAAATATGATATGTCAGTAGCTTCACCGTGACTTCAGGGCGGATGGTTAACTTTGAGTGAATAATTTGCAGATAAATAAGAATGAATTGCAAACCACCTAAGTTCCCTTAAACTGTTTGAATAGCTAACCTAGACCGCCTGAGGGAAACTTTCGTATAAGACGTTTTTAGTAACAATTCGCTTCAATTAACTAATTCAGATTCTTTCTGGAATAACAAGCTTCTTTATAAATAACACGTTCCTAACAGGACTCAAACTAAGTCTTCCAGGAAAAGAAAAGAATTTAATTTGAGGACTACAGACACCCTTAGACATTTTTCTAAACACTCATTCTTAAAACACGAAAGATGTTCCTGATTAATATTCCTAAGAATCCTCGTCCCGAAGCCATGTAATCCATTGATTTAAGTCCCTTCAGTATTTAAAAGTGCTACTCCTATCGTCTCGTTACCTTCCATAGCCATGTTCTCTAAGCCCCGTAGTGAATTCTACTTTAACGTTTCAATGGAATAACAGTGTTTAACAGTGTTCTCGTTTCTCAGTTTAGAGTAACACTGATTTCCGTTAAGTTTATATTAAGGCTAACAAATAAGTATTAATTTTTATCAACAGTCATGCAGCTTTTTATAACGCCATGCACGTTTTTAACATTTGAAGGAATCCAGACTGATTTATCCTGGGCGTAAAATTAGAAGAATTTGTGTATATATACTAATAAATAGTTCTTAAATTTTAACAACGCAAAATCAAATATTTTAAAATTATGTAGTTTTGCCAAGTTTTGTGTTCATGTAAGTAACTGTAGTTTGATGGTGGAAATATGTATACCTTAATCAGCATAACTTTCGAATAATGTCACGTTACAATAGAATTAAACCTATACAAGGCTTGGCAAATCGTCAGCGCTGAAAGTGCTTGACTTTGAAATCTTTGTCTTTTATGTTATCACAGTACGTCGTTTATTGAAGTAACAAACTGAGTGGTTTTAAAACAATACATTTGAAAGTACTATTGCTTTTACCTTATTTTTAACTAGCCGAAAGTACCCGATGCCAGTTAAGTTACATTGAGAGTAATGTATCTAACAACAAAGTAATCCTTCTGTAATAATCCGCTGTAATCCTTCTGTAACAACGATGCAAAAAAATACGGCCCATAATCACACATTTTTCTGATACGATATCGAAAATAAATTAAAAAATTTTCGATAGAAAAATAAGCTAATTTTTTCTCATTATATCAGCAATAATGGTACGTACTTTTTAATGATTTACGTCTTTCTAATGAAATGGTCGCAAAAGCTCCAAGTTCCATCCAATATCTCACCTATATTCAATTTTAGTGGATTAAATGTGGCGAAACATTTATCATAATTGATGAGAAATCAATAATGCGAACAAACAAACAAACACACAAACAGACATTCTTCTTTATAGATTTTGTAAAATTTACTAATTTTTGATTAACAAACTCTACGATTTGAAAGCGAGCTGTAGCAACACTTTACGTAATAAAGCAGCTTTATCTACAACACGCGAGACTGTTGCCACTCGGAAAAATGAATGCGAAAATCAGTCTTATCTGCAGAGATTCTTTCGGCTGATTAAAGTCGTACGAAGATGGGAATAGTCGAAATGGCTTTCCACGAATTTTTGGAATTAAAAATAATGTATTTAATGTTTGGCAATGTTATTTTTATTTCATTGTAAAACTTAGAAATTTTTTATTAGCAAGCTTTAGGATTTGAAAGCGAGCATTGGCAGCACATTTCGAAATAAAGCAGATTGTTATCTCTAGCGTGCGAGATTGTTGCCACTCGGAAAAATGAGAGCGAAAGTTAGCGTTTTCAGAGTTTTTAATTAATATATCTGATTTTAGCTACTGTTTGGGGGGGGAGGAGAAGTGGACGTCGACCTTTCCCATAACCCAGGAAAAACTGTAGAAAGTTTGGGTGACGATAGCTATAGTAATGATTGAATTAATCGCGAAGAAACAAACACACATACATTCTTCTTACATATATCGATACATCTAGTAATAGTTACATAAACATCTGCATACTTGGTGTTAATAAAATACCTTTCCAACGCCGTATATCAAGTATCAAAATGAAGAATAATCTATTCGTGAACTTTCAATGAATGTAGAGTCTCAGTCACTTTCGTAACGTAAAGTGAGTGAGAATTCCGGAAGACTCAAGGGACTTCTCGCTATATCTTGGAAATTACAACAGAGACTTGGAAAGGGTGTAAAAAGCCTTTTATTAACTAAGATAAGTCAATAGCAGGTACAGTTTCTGCTTACATAAACAACCAACATTTATGGCGTAGATTTAAAAAAAAAAAAAAAAAAAAAAAAAAAAAAAAAAAAAAATTAAATATCCTAGGTAAACTGTAATTTAGCCCAAAGGCTACACAGAGAAAATGCGCGCAAGTTGGATTAAATCTAAAATCGAAGGGACAAACCTAATGGCAAGAGTAACGCAACGCCGTAGATAAACTGCTATCAAGTTATCAAGTGATTCAACTAATAACGTGGCCTTCAGCAGGCGCAACACGCTCCGATTGTACGATCTAAAACCTTCTTTTATATACTATCTCTTTCTACCTCATTTGAATACACGCGAATTATAAATTAACATTCTGTCAGAGAAACGGAGAGACAGAAAGACAGTAAAGATCACTAACATAAAATAACTAGTTAATAAAAATAAATCAGTACTTCATAAATGAGTTTATTAATATGTTTACACGCTGTTTTACTTTATTTATGCTCTTTATAAATTGGAAATACTGAAAATTCATTTCAGATAAGATTTTACATGATATGAAATTTACGAGAAAATTCAAGAAATTCATTTCTATATCATTTCTATTCATTTCTATATATTCTTTTCAGACAATTGTAAAATAGAAAAAAACTATTAACCTTAGCTGAAAAGGCATATCTAAAACTCGGTTAAAATATTCTCAGCTTCGTGGCTCTCAGGTCTGTGAATGAATAGCCGATTTTAATGCTATTTCTGAAAATTATATAGCATTTCCTGTTTTCTTCAAATATTCACACTACTCTTGGTCTCTATATTTTCTTTCTAAAGCATCTGCTTCAATTAATACACATTCTATCAGTAACAAAAAGTCTGATTTCATGTTATCCAATGCCCATTGATCAAATCAATGTTGTTACATAGATATTAAATTTAATATCATACCGCAGCGGCCTTTGTATCTGACGTCTATCTCTCTCATCTCAAGACAGGACGTTCTTCTCATTTCGCATACATTCGGGTAATCTTTGCCATCTGTGCCACACACTGGCCTTGACCTGCTGTCGCCGTAAGTAGCACATTTTTCTGGACAAATACATTCCGCTGACCTACCGTCCAAAGAGGGTTGACATTGAGCTCCAAAATGACACTCCTTCTCCTCACATGGATCTTTCAAATCTATGATGAAAGAATTATAAATTTTAATCACTGAATTTAATCATTGATTTCATTCAAAACGTTTTCAAAATGTGAGTTTTAACTCAATGTTTCTTTAAACATATTTCCCTTTTGATTCTTAACTTTTCTAAAGAGAGTTCTAAGAATATAATATATTATTTTATCTAAGTCACATCTCATACATTTCCTATTTATTTATTTAGTATACTTTACCCAAAATATTTTTCATATACAGTAAACCTTCAAGTAGAATTTCTGATTCTAGATTTTAGAAATTCCATTTACACGGATGGCCTGTTCTTTTTTTTTTCTCAGACTGTAGAGTCATTAGGTACTTGTTGGAAGTAGGAGATATGAAAAATGAGTAACGCCTTCGCCGGGAATCGAACCACGAAACTCTGGAATACGCGCCCGGCATGCAGACCACTACACCACGAAGGCACACTAAGAAGGCGCGAGAAATACCTTATAAGACAAGGTATAACTAACCCTACTGTGCTTTTAGTCACGTGTTTAGGTTACGTGTTTCGTTCAAACTTTAAATTTACTACAAACTGTAAACCAACAAATATTATATATAAATATATATATGTGTGATTTAATTACTTAAATTTTTAAGAAAAAAAATAATATCTAAAGTTAGATTTAATTTACTTTTAGAAACGTTTAAGTTTTTTGGAACGGGAAAGACGAAAAATCAAATATGTGCTCAATAGTATTCAAACCACGAATCTGTCAACTGCTAGCTGGGTATGCTTCGACACCACGACATCACATATGATGTAAGGCAATATTTCCTTATAAAACAGCTAACAGTTTTGCTATATGTAAGTAAAAAAATCATATTACCTTTTAGGGCATTAAAAAGATTAAGCGTTTAGTTTCAAAAATTTCATTAATAAATAAAAAGAAAAGAAACGAAAAAGAAAATTTTAATTGTCGTTAGTTGAAATATAAATTGAAACATGTTTAGGCATATAAAACATAAACTCAGTATTTCATTTGAATGAATAATGTATTTTCAGTAAGTTTTATATACATATATTTTTCTTTTTAATCTGTGTAATCTTCAGAACAAAGTAGGATAAAAGAAAAAATAGAATTTCCTCACTTCTATTGCAGAAAATAAGTTTAAACGGTGTATAGCGTATATATGTTTCATCTTATATTACCTGAAGGTATTGGGTTGGCAAGACAGTAATTTTGGTTTATACAGGTAGATAGCTAGCTGTGTTCATTTTGTTATTTTTCTGTAAATTTTAGAATTTTTTTTTCTTTTGAGATTCGGCGACTGGCACTTTTAGGTTGTTTTAGAAATAAATTCCGTGTATTTTGCTTTACAACTGTTAGTTTAAGTTCAGTTTTAATAGTGCAAAAATAAACATTTTAAAACTTTTTTTTTTTTTTTTTTTTCAATTTTCACAAAGGCAAGAAAGCGACAGAGGCTCACAAAGAAATATGTGAAATTTATGGTGTTGATTGCTTAACAGAAAGTATGTGACAGAAGCGGTTTAAAAATTTTCGTGATGGAAATTTTCAACTTGAAGATGACCAATATTCTGGCCGACTTTCCGAAGATGATGAAGACAAAATTAAAGCCATAATCATAATCGGGTCATCATATAACCGTGCGCACAGATGGCAAAAACGTTAAATGTATCACACACAACAATTGAAAATGAGATACGATGTCTTGAACTCGTTAAGAAGTTCAATATTCGTTATCCGCATGATATGAAAGAAATTCACTTAACATGACGAATTAATATTTGAGATACGCATTTCAAAAGTAACACAGTCCAAATTATTTTAAACGCATTATCACTGGTTAGGAAAAATGGATCGTCTAACAATAATATTAATCGAAAAGATCACAGTCCAAGCATGATGAACTAGCATAAATCACAGGGAAAGCTAAATTGAATCAGAAAATAGTCATGCTGTCAGCAAAATGGAATTACAACCGTGCTGCGTATTTTGAACTGCTTTCAAGCAATCAAATGATCAACTCGGATGTTTTCTTCCGACAAGTTGATATTGGAGGAAGCAATTAAAGAGAAAAGACCAGAATTTGACAAATGGCAAAGGAATCGTATTCCACCACGACAAAATTATTGGAGATTCGTTGGGAAGTGACATCGCATCCCCCATTTGCACCATCGGATTATCATTTATTTTAAAGTTCACAAAAACTTCTTAAATGCTAAATATTTCGGAAATAACGAGTTTTTGCTGATAAAGACCAGAAGTTCTATCACCACGGATTCATGAAGTTACTAGAAAGGTGACAGAATGGAAGATATTTGACTAATTAAAGTTCATTTTTTTAATAGAAAAAACTGAGTTCTATTTCACACTAAAAATACAAAATTACTTTCTTGCCAACCCGGTAGTTTTATACTTGTTGCTGTTGACTAATACTCGCTTATCTTATCTATAGTCAACCCAAGACCACGGAAATACCTCGTGGCAAGGAGCGCAAGATTACGCCTGCCGTTGGCAACAGCCTTGAGCACATTTATCCTGCCCTCATGCCGCACGGGCATTTACAAACATCCATGCCTTCTCCGTGATTCGAACCCAGATCCTTCGGCATGGCAGTCAGCGACGCTAACCGCTATATCGGTTGGGCGTCAGTTTTATACTATTTATTCTATTTATTTTATGTATGAAATGAAATAAATTTGTTTTTATTTATATGAATTTTAAATTTTGAATGAAATTGTTCAGCTTCAACTATTTAAATTCAGTAAGACTTTAAATTAAATAATACTTTTGAGATTATAAAATGTATGCGTTAAATTTAATTTCATGAACTGAAATAAATTTTAAAATTCATCAACATTAATGTTAGGTAATACATCATTGACGCAATTCTTCGAAACAAATAAAATAAATATTCTGCATACAGATATTAACAACTTCTTCCGAAGTGTCATGTTATCGTTATGATAAATTGTCTAATATTTCCTTTATTTAACAGCAAAAATTAAATTATTTCTTGCTCGTCAGTAAAATTTTAAATAAATATATATTCAAAGAATATCTTTAACAAGTCTTTTGCAGAAGATTTCAGCGAATTTTATAGTATTTTGCTTAATCTGAAAATCATATTTTATGTTATGTCACTATTAAAGCGTCATCTTCTTTATAAGCATCAAGGGAATTTGTTTAAGGAAAATACAGAAAAAAAAAATTGGAAATCTTAAGTGTCAGTTCCGGGATGATGTAAGGTAAAATCTGTCAGGATTCTAAAAATATGTTAGAGAGATAAAACGTCATTTGATATTCACGATAAATATTTCAGAAAATTAAGTAATTTATAAAGATTATTTCAGATTTGCACAATCTACTTTCAGACTGTAGTTCAGAAAACTAATCTCTTTATTTAATTCCTGACACTTTTCAAATCTAAGAACGCATAAAAAGAAAACGTTTTAAGTTTATGCATGTAAATCAGGATGATTGTATTTTCAGCGTGACAGGAGCACTAAAACTTAAAATCGGGCAAGTGGAAATGAGTAAAAGAAAATATCACTAAAGTAGGAAAATAGCTTTATAGGCAGAATTTACCAAATCGATCCCTATAGTTTTTACTCAATGCTAAAAGTCTCTCTATTAATTAAACGAAAGCAGACTTGGGAACAGAAGATACAGAAATTATAAAATTCGTGAACAACTGCACATAAATGATTAATAAATTCAGTAAAATCATTTATAATCATGAAGTTTAAATACTAAGAAATAAAATGTACTTTTAGCAAGTAATACATGGAAATAGGTTCCTTAACTGAGTTAAAGTTTTTCTTCATATTTAAATCTGTTAAAGACACAAATCACCGTCGAGTGATCCGGTTAAATCTAGTCAATTAGATCAGATTATTTGGAACGGCCGTGAACTTGAGGACTCTCTGACTTAGAAGAGATATCTTCGTGGAAGACTCCGTAAGGAAAATCGGCTTATTTCACGCTGCACAGAGATTTATTTAGCATGTTTTACAGAAAATGCCTTAGTACCAGCGAACTCGAAACACTTATAGACACCTCACTAAGTCTGTACGTAGCTAGGGTACAGTTCTTTAAGCAACATTCTGAAGGGGCTAACAGGAAAGTAATCACGAATCGGCTTAACAGTGAATAATTTTTAAAACTCTAGGTTCATCGGTGAACTAAAGAATAAAACCGCTGAAAACTGGTACTTTTGTTCGGACTCAAAATCTCTTCAAATAGGTTGGATGAAGGGGGTCTTTTCGTGCTTTCTTCATGTATAATATGAATATAAGGCCGTTTCCTTGAAAATGAGTTCCTTAATTACTACTTGCATTCCTTAGATGATTCTTACCTTCGGTAGATAGCTCTAGTGTGCTTAATCTGAAAAAACTGTAATCTAATAAATAAAATTTAAATGAACTCTTGATTAATCGATTAAAATTTAAAGCCATATGCTTTGGCATCTGGCTATTTTGTGAATTTTATTTAACCTTCCAGCGGGCGCGCATATGTGTGACATACACTAGATTTTAATTTTGAATTTTTTTCGTAGACCAGAAGGCGCTATGACCGCGTGTTCTTGGCTATTCTCTCCTCTTCGTTCGCCCTTCTTTCAGTCGTCTTCTGGATTTCGAGGGGTTAATGCGAGTCTGCAGATTTACTATTTGTATTCCAGAAATACGCGCGACCGTTGAAGTAAGTTTTTGCTATATCTAATTTCCTTTTTTATTATAGAAAATCTTTATTCTTTTACATCTAAATCTTATGATTTTGTGTAATTTGTGTGCATAATTACTTTTAATGATAAAATAGAAGCACTGTATGCGTCACATACGCGCGACCATGTATGATATTTTTGTTCTTTTTTTTTCAGTTATGGCGATTAAAGGTAAAATGCTCGACATATGATCCGAAGGATCTTGAGATTATAAGAAATATGCTTTTATGTGACAGTGATGACGATGAGGACATTATTTTAGATGAAAGCATTACAGATGAAGAAGAGCGAATTTCAAAAAAGGTGATTCAGAATCGGAAATTAGTGCAGAGGGCAATTCTGAAGAGGAAAATAATGATGATAATTCTTCCGAAATGTATATAGCTCATCAAATGAAAAACAGAAAAAGTCATCGATTCTTGGACATGGCATAAAAAGAAAACTAAACGAGCGCCTCGTAACATATGTGTTCATGTTCCTGGAAGTCATCGGTGAAGCTAAATAGCTAACAGATATTTTGGATATATGGAAAATGCCTCTTTACTGATAGTTTGATAGAAATCATCGCTGAAGATACGAATAAGTTTATTTCTTCCGTGAAGTCTAATTATTCTTGTATAAGGGACAGCAAAGAAACGAATGGGCAGAAATAAGCTCTTTTGGGCTTACTTTACTTAGCTGGTATTTATCATGGTCACAGAGTTCTGGAATCTTGAGGAACTGTGGAGAATGGAGGAATTTAAAGTAGTAATGAACTTGAAGAGATTTTTGTTTTTTTACTAAGAGCTTTACGGTTTGATGACATAAACACAAGAGCAGAACGAAGAGAAGTCGACGACCGCTTGGCTCCAATAAGAAACATTTTTGAAAAGTTTTGTCTCTAATTGCCAGAAGTTGCTATTCACTTGGAGAGAATGTCACAACCGATGAGAAATTAGAAGGATTTTGAGGAAGATGTGGTTTCATTCAATACATTCCCCCAAAAAAGCCGAACAAATTATGGCATAAAAATTTATGCCATGGTAGACGCTCGTATGTTTTACACATACAATATGGGCATTTATGCTGGAGCGCAGCCAGATTGTCTCTTTACGTAAGCAATAAACCACAAGATGTTGTAAAAAGGTTGACAGAACCCATTGATAACACTGGAAGAAATGTAACCCACAGACAAATGGTTTTTTCAAGTTTTTGAGTTAGTACGAGAAATAGATGAAAAAAATTGTCGTTTGTAGGTACTTTGAAATTTGAAAAACAATAAACCTCAAATTCCGGATCAGTTCAGTTCAAGCTGACGAAAACTCGGGAACCCAATATGAGTCTTTTTGGATTTAGAAAAAATATGACACTTCTCTCCTATGTACCCAAACGTTATAAACACGTCATATTGATTTCAAATCTTCATGATGATGTAGCAATAGATGAAAATACCCAAGACCAAAAATAGCCTGAGATTATCACATTTTACAATCGTACCAAAGGAGGTGTGGATACAGTGGATAAACTCTGTGCTTCCTACAATGTTTCCAGGAACACCAAAGGTTGGACTCTTGCAGTTTTCTTCTCTATGCTGAATATAGCAGCAATCAATAGCTACATAATTCATTCAACGAATAATAGTGAAAAATTACTTAGATGATAATATCTGCGAAAGCTGGCAAATGCTCTTGTGAAGGAAAACGTTGAAAGAAGAATCCCTAACTCTCTTCAAAGTGAGCTGAAATTTAAATTGTTGAAACGAAAAGCAGAATTAGCTATCGTTGAAGAAATGACTTCAGGAAAAAAAAAGATGCAAACCCTGCCAAAATGACAAGCATACTAGAATTACGAGGTTCAGCTGTGAGATTTGCTTAAAATTCATTTGTCTGTAACACTGTAATGTAATTTCACTGTAAACATATTTGTTCAGACTGCAGCACCGATGCAATGAAGTCACTATGAAATTGATTTGTTATGTATTTATATTTAATGTGTTTTTTCACTTACTGATTAAAAAATAAAAGTTCAGTTGAAATATTGGCAGTTAATTGTTTAATGGTTTAATTTTGTTTTACTTAAGTTAGTTTGATAAGTCTTTAGTCCATTTTATATTGTTTTTTTGCTTTATACTTATTTTTATTTTCCTAATTTTTTTAAAGTTAATATTGTTTAAGCTCAATTGTACTTATTAACATTTAACTATTTACAAACTAATTTTAATATTTTTGCTCTGGAAAATTTATTTTTTATAATAGCGTATCTAAGAAATACGCGCGACCTTTCTTGTTGGTGCAGAAGGCGCGCCCGCTGGAAGTTTAATAAACAGTCAAACATTTTGTAAATTGATTATATCTCTTATCTGCTGATTTCTTACTCCAAGGTTCTCACTCTAGAATATGAAATATTATTAGGGAAAAGGAGTGGATAGTAGGCAGATATAGCTGCAATTGAGATGAATTTGAAGTTATACCATTGGCATTATTGCAGCTGGTAATGACATCCGTGTCATAGGTACTGTAATGACGAGATTAGATCGATGGAAGAACATCTACTGATGAATGATAGATTTATACTTAATTTTAATGAGCAGTAGTTAGATAGGATGTTTGCAGTCATGACGTTAATTGTAAATATCACCAATGGCGGGCTCTCGGCCGACTTCGGTTTGGCCACTATTAAAGAAAGAAGTGGTGGTCACTTTATTATGGAGGCACCTAATAGATGGGCCTCTTTTTCCTCCTATGAAGGGACGGACAGTTACAATCATGACCTTTCCTGATTCGAACCCGAGCCCTTTAGTATCTTAGTCGGCCTGCCCCCAGCGGTAAAGTCACTGAAAACTGTTACTTCAATCCGAGGTTCGAATCCCGCGAACGGGCTGGCTGCATGGGCGTTTTCGTGGTTTTCCCCGTGTTTAACGTGTATACGAGCCAGTTTCCCTAAGAAAGCCCTCCACGAAGGCATCCCTCCCCTTAGGCAGATAGCACTCGAGGCTTTGCCGTGATCACATAAATCAAATCAATTAATCAGCCTACTAGAAGCGAATTTGCATTTCAATTTTAGTTGTACTGTATGTTGTCCTTGAATAAAAAAAGCATTTTCATCGAAGTTCGTTTATATTTAATTTTGTTTACGTTTGTGTAATGTGTAACTCGTATGGATGGATCTTTTATTTGGGTAAGGAGTTATAAGTTAAGTAACTGAAAAAGGGATAGGCAACAACATAAGCTTTATAATAAGCAAGTCCTAATTCATAATATTTAACAGGCTTATCATAATTCATAATATTTAACAGGCTTATCTTGCTTAGGGAAGGAGCTGTAAGTCAAAATTTAAAATAAATTGTGCAATGCTAAGAGCACCAAAATCCTCTTATTACTTTTGAAATACAGCGAATGTTTCCAGCTTTTAATCTTTTAAAAAAAAATTGAACAGAACTGCAGTCTTAGATTGATGTAAATTTTGAACTAAAAAATGGCTTTTATTCAAAACATAGCCGACTTAAAGATATGTTTATGCCTACTTTAAATTTCACATGTCCGTGTTTCTTTTCCAGTTAGATTTGCACTTTTGGGGAGAAGAGGGGTGGTGTTCTATTTGCTTCATTTTCGAAACGATATACCCCACTTATTTTCACACGTGTGTGCGCTGGAAGGTTTCCGCCGAAAACATCGCGGCAAAAACATCGTAGACAGAAACGTCGCTGAGAAAACAACGCAAAACGAAAACGTCGTGCTGCAAAACATCGTGGTAGAAAAGACGAAGAGAAAAGATCGCAGTTCTAAAACATCATGGTACAAAATATCGTCGTCGAAAATAAAGCGGTTGAAAAACTTCGCAGTTTAAAAACATCGTCGTCTAAAATATCGTGTTAAAAAATAAAGTACCTACAAATCAGCGCATGACGATAACATCGCACACATGCGCTTTTACAGGTTTTAAAAACTGTAAATGCATTTTCGCATAATGATTTAGGTGCGCAAGAAGGCAAGCGGGATATTTTTACTTTTATATTTTGTATTTTATATTTTGTATTTTTGAATGAGCTAATGAATTTTTACTGAAAAAGTAAGAAAAAAAAACTTAAAACATTTAAAAATTGAAAATGAGTAGAAAATTAATGCAACTTACAGCACTTAATAGAATTTCAAACTTACATATATAATTTAAAAAGGTCATTAATAAATTTAATATTTTTATAAAGTTTTATTCATGATTTTTCATGAAAAATATAGACTAAAAATGTTCAGGAAAAGGAAGATAAATAACTGCATGAGGTTACTACTATGAAAATTGCTTAGTTAATTATCAAATTACTTTCTTTCACGTTTGTTAATCTGATTTTGTTTGGATGAATATTATATATTGTTTTGTTTCCGTTTATTCTTAAATGGTCATTACCATTTCTTGCGATTCCAAATATCTATGCGAATACGCATTTACAACTTTTAAAACCTGAAAAACGCATTTGGATGATGTTATCATGCGATGATTTGTACTTAATTTATTTTTTACCACGATATTTTCCACGATGATGTTTTTAAACTGTGAAGTTTTTGAACAGCTTTATTTTCGACTACGATATTTTGTATCACGACGTTTTCGCCTTGCGTTGTTTTCTCCGCGACGTCTTTGTTTGTGATGATGCTGGAAAAAGGTGGCAAAAAAAAGACATATATACAAATATTTATTCTCTATGATGATGTTATTCTTATAAATTCAAATTAAATTAATTTGCTTACTTTAAATCAAGTGAAAACTTACCACACGGCCCTTGATGCTTTGTAAATATTCTCTTCTGCTTCGTACAAGAAGCCATTCTCAGCTGACATTCACTTGAATAGGTAATCCCATCACTTCCGCATACTGGAGCAAACACGTCTGAGCACGTTTCCTGACACCGGCAATGTGCTTGTTGCGTTCGTTTATCCACCAGGCATAATGCCCCATACGCGCAGTACATTTTCTCGCATTCACCTGCACAAAATAATGTTTTTAACAGAGCGATTTAATTTTAAGCAAATATATATCAAAATACAGAATCAATGCAATTTTTATACACGGTGTTAAAAAATGGCTACAGACTTCATGTTCTCAATAATTTAACTTTCAAGTTTATAAACATAAGATACAGAATTTTAGGAAACAGTTTAAATACTGCGGATGGGAAAATTCTGTAAAATGTACATATTTCATATGATTAGAGAGCAAAAGCTCAATTATAAGATATTTACTAGGCTATAGTAAGTTAAGTACAAAAACGCTCCACTTCTTTACGCCTAGAATTATCAGAGATATTGAAGAGTGTATTAGGTAACTTTTAATCTATTTACTTACCAGAGAAATTTAACATTTTTCAGAAAATTTGAGAAACAATGCAAAAAGGAATAATTAGTTTTGCTGCTCTGTAATGCTGGCCTGAATAGTCAGCATTCATTAACTATATTGGAGTCAATCTGAAACTAAATTTCTGATATTTTGAAATTTTTCCATATAACGTAGTAGAACATATCCTATTTAAATTATTAAAACAAAACAATTTTTTCATTGTTTGCAAATTTTGCTCCCCAGAGGCTATATAAAAATTAGACCCTGTATTTATGCAATCATTTCACTTCTTCCTTCCCCGCCGCAATATTTTAAAAGGATTTCGTTAAATTCTGTATTTTATTTTGAGACGTTAAGTTTGAAGCACGTGTCTAAAGTCAATATTTAACCCTTTGACTCCTAACGCAACATATAGGTCCCACTAAAAGCTTAAAAATTACTTAGAAATTCCTTAGGGATCATCTTCCAATAGTTGGATAATCAAGACGCCGCTACACTCATTGTACACAAATGAACAAATATGAATTGCCCAATGTGTAATGTTGAGTTATGCAAAGAATGCTTTACCCTGTACCATACGATGTAAAATCTATTTCATACAATAAAGTTTTCCAAAATAATAGGTGTGCTTATAATAAGTCGATCGCTAAGTGTGTGGGACACGCAGCCGAAGTACCTGATGTATTTCAGTGATGAAAGCAATACGATCCTTGGGCGCATTGCTGTAGGTTACGAAAGCTGATACGACCACTGGGTACCTGAATCGAAAGCGTCGACTATTCTCAGGGCCCACTGCTTATTAATTTCAATGATCCAAGTGTCACCATCGCTGGTGAGCGGAACTGCGAAACGCTGGGAAAATTGCGAAGTGAAATTAAGGAAACGACCGGAAAACTGCAAAACTGCGGAATTGCGTGATTCTGCTTCAAGATAACGCAATCCCCATATGGCAAATGTCGTAACGTGGAAGACACTCGAGCACCCGCCTTACGGTCCTGACCTCTCCTCGTGCAGTTTTTTCGCCTTTGGTCCCTTAAAAATTCCTTGAAGGTAGACGGGTCCGGTCTGACAGAGAAGTGCAGCAAGCAGTATCGGTCTTCTTTAAACAACAGAAAAAGAAGTTTTACTTGATGAGTATATTCAACCTGGTGAAGTGGTGGAATGATTGCCTAAAATGCTCAAGACGATTTTGCATACCTGGCATACCAAATCCGGGCTGTACAGCCTTCGAACGGAAACGTTTTTGATCACCTTTTATATTTTTAAAAGGATACTCTTTCATTAGACAGAATTCTATTATGACTTCTATAAAATTACGATTTAATATTAACTTGATGACTTTTAAGTTAAAAATATCGATTTATTTGTAGTTTAACTCTTAGGAGTAAGCGCATTCATCCATAAAATAATTTAACACTGTAGATTTCTAATCAAATTAACCAGTACGTTAAAAAAACGACTTAATGTTAAGGAGGTAAAGAAGGAGTATAAGAAGGACTATGTTTTGTTTATAAAATTTTTGCTAATATTTAATTTAGCGATATACCTTTTGATTGCGAACTAAAATGTTCTTTGAAAACTTTTTCTTTTCTTTTTGCCCCTTTCCATGCAAAAATTTATTCGCTATTTAAATATTCATAAGTATTCATGACTAGTTCATTATTCTTTGAATTTATTTCTAGAGTTTAAGTAGACAGAAATAAATTAAAAATAATAAGAATAGTAAACTGAAATTAAGATTCCTATTTAATTTACTTCTCTCTGTTTCATATATATATACATATACGATCGAATAATATATACAGAACTCTATTTATGTATTGCTGCCTACGGGAACCCTGCATTGCTATTTTATTCAGATTTGCCTTTGAATAAAAATACCTTCCAGGTGTTTGTACATATGATAGGGAATGCCCTGTATAACTATAATTGGAATTATTGAATCAAAGACTGACTTCAAAAACATATCATACTTTGGCATGTGATCAAAATGGATTGAATTATGGCAAAGCATGATGTAAGGGAAGGGAAACCTTTTGGAGAACCCTTTTTTTTTTTTTTTTTTTTTTTTTTTTTTTTTTTTTTTTGGCTCATATTCATTTGAAAAACCACGCACATAAGGAAAACTTCCACGCAACCAGCCAGCTCACCGGGGGCTGGACACGAGTCGAACAACAAGCGTTGCGCGATTTTAATGCTGTGTCGTAGGTGGGTTTATAATGAGGAAGAGTATGGAAAACAGATGAGCCTGAGAAGGCAGAATGTTTGTGGAATATTAGAAGTCGAATTCTGAATTTTCGACCTACAGATGGCAACTATTGCCGCATAACAAATATAGCAGGAATACTTTAACTGCTCAAATTTTCATCTTCAGCTATAGACAACTGTGAAGAATAATACAATACTCAGTTGAACAGACCCAGGTTCGTGACAAATGTGCGTCTAGTCTTTTGGTAGTTCAGACTCCAGTTGTAGTGGAAAGCAGGACAAGCAGACGTGTGCAGGACCCTAGGACGTATGAAGGACCCCATAACTCTTCAATGGTTCTTTACAAGTATAATCCCACCGCGCTTACTATGCAGTTGTCTCGATTTTGATGGAAGGTACTCAGAAGTTTGAAACAAAGGTTTTCTTCCCTTCTCTTTCTACCACCAAGAGAACTTTTAAGCGTAATGTAAAAAATAATTTAAATAAAATCTGCTTTTTATCGAAATATTGGATGTTTGCATGTGTTATTTATATGCTATTTCTTTTAATGTTAACAGAAAATCCTAATACTTAACAATAATATTTAATTTAAAATAAAAATATATAGAATTTTTATTTAATATAATAATTTAAAATAAAAATTCAAAATACGTTAATGGGCAACATTAATAATAATGAATATATTCGCTTATTTAAATTATTTTCATACAATAATGAAGTAAAAATTTAATATGTAATAATGGCCTTATCCTATTGCCATATTTAGACAAAATTTGTAGGTGTACATGAGATTTTCGGTATCATGGAGCTAGCAACAGCGTTAACTTTTTAATGTTCAAGCTTTTTAGAATAATTCTTGCATACAAGTACCTTAATTGCACTGCGAGAAACATCTCTAAATCCCGAGCGCTCGTTGTAAGCACAGGGTGTTTTAATTCTTACAATGAAATAATAAATAATGTTGATAACAACAAGGCTAACACTCAAGGAATTCCGTTCGATAAAGTTGCGCAGAATTCTGGCATCATTTATGTGCATTTAAAATACGTACCATTTCAGCGTACCAAATATGATAAGGTGGATCAAACTTCGCTCCCGTATCATATTTGATACGGCGGATTCACGAAGGAAAACTGAAGCATATCATATATCATAGGCCTGGAAACGAAGAGGTTAAATGCATCAATGTCGCACAGAAGACATGGAGTTTCAAACATCCATGTCTTCTCCTGGATTCGAACCCGGATCTAACAATGTAACAGCTAGTATTGCTAACTAATATATCGATTAGGGGTAGCTGTGGAAATGTCAAATGTTCCAAAGCAAGGAATTATTAAAATTACGTGTGAACTTCTCAGAAACCGAATTTGAGACTTTTGATTTACAGAACAATTGTGTTGACTTTAACCCCATGAGCATTTCGGAGAATGCCTTAATTCTCTACGAGGAAAAGTCTTCTAATTAAGCAAAAAGCTTAAAATCTAAACTTTGTATCTTAGTTTACATGCATGAAATTCTTGTATCATATTTTTGGACAACATTTTGAAATTCTGAAAATTCTATATGATCTTTGAATTTTTAAAATTCAGTTTAAATACAGCTGCGTGCTACGGGTTCGTAGATTTGGAGTAATTGATGAAAACGCTTTATGAAGAATCAAACCAGTATTACACAGGGCAGTTCAAAGACACATTTACAGTCGTCGAAAAGCTACGATAAACACGTTGAAACAATCAGCAACATAGCCTTCGGGCTATAAATATGAAAACAGCTTCACGGCAAAGCCTTAAAGTACAGCTTTCAATTCGGTCGATCGCTCTCAAGCTAATCTTTGAACCCAGTAGTGAGCTCAAGACACACTATTGAATTCAAGATACCACTACACTACTGAATTCAAGATACTACTACAAGTACAGGTAGGGTATATACCTTCGAGAACATTCCCAAGAAAACTGCTAATTATGCGTTCTAGAATGTTCTCGCTCCGTCTATGGCATATCACTAACTTTGCACCCAAATATCGCCAAATGGGCGATTTAGTGAAAAAATAGACAACCCTGCTTTTTCTGCCTCTTTCTGGAAGCCCTAAACTCAGTTTGCGAGAAAGCGATCTGACCGCAGTTGGGCATTTCGCAACAATATATTTTATTTTTGTCATGCTAAGATATACCAAAAACCTACGCATTGTTTTCAATTTATGAAATTGACTTTATTCTTCCAATTAAATTCTTCTGGTTATAATTTTTTTTTTTTTTTTATAATGTAATCTAAAGCGAAACTAATATTAGAAATAAGGTTAATGAATAACTTCTTGTATTTGGCTCTTGCAGTAAAACTCTACGAAGATAGTTTTAAATGCATGTGCAAAAGATAACTCAGACTCCATATTATACAACAAAATCATTCCGTCTTAGTTTTACGGAAACTGTCAAAGCGTTTTA